GGTTCTTTTCCCATTAGACAGTTGGTAAGACAGGAGTCTCTTAAAATCCTCGTCTAGCCACCTTGCTATCTCTCTACTCCCTTCCAAAGCCAGGCTTCCTCTTCCTCCATTCTTTTCTGTAGCGATTCCATCGCTCCCACGCTACTGAAGCTTATCTGTCTCTCTAGAGCCACTACCAGAACACCAAGGGCAAATCCAAAGGTCTTCTCCTTTGTTAGCATTCTTGACTTGTCTGGTGTATTTGATACTGCTAGACCCTCCCTGAAACTTCTTTCACTGGGGATCTTTAATGCCATGTTTACAATGCTATTTTTAGTGCCCAAGTCCTTAACTCTTGGTTACATCTATTTTCTTTTTCACTCTGCCCTCTGTCACCGGAGGTACTACACCCATTGCAGCTTCTGTTGAGTATTTCCTGGTCATGTACCTCAATGTCACAAAAAAGAATATTTTCTCTCATTGAATTTATTGTTTACCGGACAATGTGTAAATGTTTTCTCTCATTGAATTTATTGTTTACTTGACAATGCATAAATTTTGCTCTTCCTCCAGGGCACTTTTTGTCCTTTCTGTAATATGTAATAAAGTCAAAACTCATTGTCTTTGAGTTAGAACTGATTCATAGCTGACCCTCCAGCAGGTTTTCAGAGCTTGTAAATCACACAGGACGAGATTGCCCATCTTTTTCCCAAGAGGCTGCTGATGCATTCAGACCACCAGAGAAGCATCGCCTCCGGATTATCAGCATAATGTCCTACAAACCACCAGCGCCCCTTTCTTTTATGATAGTATTCTTTGTAGACCAAGTTATCATGAAAACGTCTGCTGTTTTTCCTATTCTTGCCCTTTCCTCCAGTTAGTTATTAAATCTTGTCATTCTGCCTGCAGATTTCTTGTATTTCTCCTTCTTTCCATCCTTGTGCTCATATCAAACTTGAATTGTTACCACTAATCCTGTTTCCTCTATCTCTTCTCTTTTAGCTGGTTATGGTATGTGAAAAGTGATTATTTTAACATACATATTCCATTTTCTCAACTACCTCCAGTTCTTTCCCTGCTCCCCCTCATACCCTACTGCCTTTAAGACAGAGCCCTGAATTTTAGGTGGTGGTAGTGGTTATTGCATGCCATTGAGTTTAAATCTGCTCATGGCTCATAGAGGTGGCCAGTTCCCTCACCCCCGGCCCCCATGAAGCAGCTGGTGGATTTGAACAGCCTGCTTTTGATTTGATGGTGCAGCTCCCTACCACTACACTATGAGAGCTCCGTGAAGGAGCACTTTTAGGAAGCATTCATGATATATTTAGTGAAGTTTGAGCTCTCAACTCCCACTGATGTATACACTGATGTATACACACGGTCCTGAACTGCTGGTGCTTACATTCTAGAGTAGTCCACGAAGCTACCCATTACCTCTATCTCCAGTCATACCTCTTAACAAATTTCTGCAATTGTGCTCTGCCTGTAATTCCAAATGACTCGAGCATCTAGGAAGTTTCAATACTTAACTGCAGTTGTGCAGTAAAATCCATTTCTTGTCTTTCCTCCATAGTCCCCAGGGAGCTGTGGTGCTAACACAAAGGCCATACTGTCTGTTGGTTCACATCTACGGGCGATGCCACAGAGGGTGGGAAATCACCTCCTGTGCTACTTACAGGCCTGCAAATCCATTAGAATCAGCTGTGAGTCAGTTGTGACTTGATGGCCGTGAGGGAGTGAATACCTCCTCCAGGTCTGTGCAGTGACTCCTCTGATGCTTTACAAAGGCTTCTAATTCTTTTGCTCCCTCTTTAGAGAATTTCCTTCTTTAGGGCAGCATCACTCCCGAGCACTTCATTTATAGTTCTGAGTAGTGAGACGTCACTTACTGCCTCCCACTCATACCTTGCCAGATGCGAGCTCCCTGAGGGGCCTGCCATGGTAGATGGTGAGTCAGTGTTTATCGAATGAACTGGTGATGAGAGCACCTGGACAGTTAACATTGTGTTCCTGCCTGTAGGATAGGACCTTTCTTATACAGTGTGATGCTTTCTATAAGCCAGTTGCCTCAGGCCATTAGGAATGACACAATTGTGCTTGCTGATATCCTGTTAAACTGTTGGGACACTGTTTGCTTAATATACATCCATTGACTCAATGAGACATCATTTGTTAGCTCCTGCCTGCTCTGTTTTCATATGCGGTTCCCACATGAAAATGTGGTAAGTGTTTCAACATTAAAATGAAATCAGTATTACAGAAATGTCTTTAATAAAAACCAAAACATTTAGTTACTGCATTTGTTCCTTGTTTTAGTTATCTGGTTCTGCTAGAATAGATAGACTCCGGGTGAGTGGCAGCAACAAATAAAAATTTGCTCGCAGTTTAGGAGGCTAGACGTCCAAATTCAGGATGCTAACTCCATGCAAAGCATTTTTTTTTCTTTTCTTTTCTTTTTTTTTTTTCATTTTGTTGGCTCACAGTTTAATAGAAAATTCCTTGTTGTCTTTCAGCATCATCTATGGGCCTGGTGTCCCTTGACAATCTCTATATACTTGAGTATCAGTCTTCCTCTGAGTTTAACAGTGTCACAGCACAGGGACCTTGAATCCAAAGGACATTGCTCCACTCTCAGAATTTCTTTCTTTGTGTTAGAAGGGCTTTTGTTCTTTGTTTGTATTGCCTTTTATCTCATAAAAGATAAAAAATCTCACTCCAGGAAAACTCCCCATACATGAGATCAGAGCTGTGACCTGATTAAACCTGTCCCATCTCACCTTAATCCTGTCTTGATACCATAATAAAGTATGTCACTTGCTATGCATCTAAGAGCCGGACAATGAATAAGCTTGCCAGAAGAAGAATAGCTGCCTTTGAGTTGTGGTGTTGGAGATGAGTGCTGACTATCCCCTGGACTGCCGAAAGAACCATGAGATCCTTCTTGGGGGAAAAATGCAGCCAGAATGTTCCATAGAGGCAAGGATAGCAAAACTTCATCTCATGTACTTTGGGACTAATGCTTGGAGAGACTATTCCTTGGAAAGGGACATCATGTTTGGAAAGGTCAGTGAAAGAGAGAAAGATTGACAGTGAGATGGATTGACACAGTAATATAGCAATGGGCTGAAGTGTGTCAGAGACGATGAGCATGGCACCGCATAGAATATGGTTCAAATCTGTCAGGGCTGCTATGAGTCATACTCATCTTGACAGCACCTAACAGCAACAACAGTAATACTCACTAAGAAGGCGCTGGTGGCTTACTGGTAAGAAGTTGTGCTCCCAAGCCATAGGAATACAGTTTGAATCCACCAGCTGCTCCACAGGAGTTAAGCTCTGGTGGCTTAGTGATAAGGAGTTGAGGGGTCAACACAGAGGCACACAGTTCAAATCCACTAGCTGCTCTGTAGGAGAAAGAGGGGCAGTCTTCTCCCCTGTGATTTCGAATTCTCTGAAAATTTGCTGGAGGGGTAAGTTGTGAGTCTGTTCTGGCTTGACAGGTGCAGAACCACAACAGTACTTATTAACATCACCTAATTATACCTATCCAAAATGGCTTGCCTCCGAAAACTCTATGAACAGTGCTCAGGCCTTTCGTTCATAGGGTCACTATGAGTCGCCTACGACTCTATGGCACCTAACAACAATAACAACGACAACATAGAGCTATGTTAGCCTAGTGGATAGAAAGTAATGCTACCAAGCCCAAGGTGGGTGTTTTAATCTGCGTCCCTCAGGTCTGTTTTAAATTATTTTTGTCAAGCATTTCTTCTGAGTGGTCCAGCACTGGTCTGTGCATTGCTGTACAGAGGTAACTCATGATTGCTGTAATGTTAAACCCTGTGACACTGATGTGCCAAATTTGATAATGGTTACCCATGTGAACAGTGTTTGGTGGAGCTCCCTGACTAAAACAAGCCTGGAAACAGGAGTGGTATCTACTTCTGAAATGGCTTGTTTCCGGAAACTCTAAGAACAGTGCTCAGTCCTTTCATTCATAGGGTCGCTGTGAGTCAACACCTACAACAACAATTATACCTAATAGACTTATAGAGACCAGGTCCACATCATATTTCACATAGAACTTAATGCTTTTATATATCTTACCATACATATGACTACATCATGGTATAACATTTCCAAGCTATATCATCATCTAACTACAAACTGCATCCGTGCATAACTGACGATAGTATCACTATTGAATCCCACACCACTGAGAACTGTGCCTAGCTGGTTGGCCCATATTTTTTTTTGGGGGGGGAGGGAATGCACACAAAATTAAACCTATGATAGACCCACATTTTTATGCAAGATTCAAGATGTCTTGATAAGTGCAATCCATCTTTCCCAATCCTCAACTGTAAAGGTTTGTTCGTCATCAACCTTATGGAAAATTCCGAGTTGAAAATCAGCTCCAAATTGATTTCCTCCTGAAGATGTCGATAACAACTTGAAATAAAAAGAAAAACTGAAGTAAAAAATTGAAGTCATAAGAATGTATTTGTGGAATTGCAAAGAGCTTTTTCCAGAACTCATGATTTGATGTTGTTGTTGATTTCCTTCAAGTCAAGCATGACTCATAGCAACCATGTTATCAAAAGGCCTGAAGCCCCTCTACAACTATCAACATTTATCAAAGTTCATAGAGTTTCCAGAATAATGTCCAAGTTCACTTTTCTGACTTCTTGATTATTTCATCGGTATGATTTTCCACTGGAGACTTAATAAATTAGGAAATTGGTGTCACTCTTTGTACACAATATTTAAGAGGAAAAACCACATCTTTTCCTTATATGTGTTTATAGTCAATAAATGTGAAGATTTTGAGAGGTTCAACTCTTTTACCTTTAAGAAAATTAAAGTGTCAACAAGCTAAGTGACTTTGCCACTGGTGGAGTGGTGCTGGTGGACTCCCCTGCCACTCCTCATGTTACTCTGACTCTATGACTGGAGGTTTTATTTGGATGCTGTCATGAGATCATAAGTCAAACTTATATAATCCCTCTCTGTTGATGAAGGTTCCTACCTGATCCCGCTACCAGCCGCTCAACTAGCCAGCTGCGCAGACCTGGGGACCCTCTGTCAAGGTAGGGAGATGCACTGCACTCCTCACAAGCCTCTGTTTCCTCTTCTGGGTAACGCAGTTGACATTGTTTTGAATTTGATCTTAACTTCCGTCAGGAAAGCCAGAACCCAGTGAAACAGAAGAATTTCTGGATGTGTTTTAGTTGTGTGGGTGCACAGTGCATACAGTGTAGAGAAAGAAGTCATTCACATGCTGGATGACCACATTTCCATAAAGCACTGAGTTTTTAAAATGTGACTGATTATATGCTACTTACTAGGGGTTTATTTTATTTCCCCTCTCCTCCTTCTCAAGAATACTGCACAGATCCAGTATAAATACTGTCATACAGTATTCTGAAGGGGTATTCATGTTATAAAACAAGTGGAAAATGGTGAAATAAAGTTGTATACTCAGTTACATAAGAGACAAGGGTATGAAGCAATTTATGATATGAAAAATAAAAATAAATACTAAGGCACATATTAATAAAATGTTGATATATTTAATCACAGTAATATTGTTAAGCATAATAATTAATATCATTTTCAGTACTTCATTTACATATTATATACTAGATAGTTTTATGCTGAATAGTATAAGTAAACAATAATGTAAATGTTATGCTTTAGTTTTATAAGTTCTCTTCGTAATACTTGTGACCTTTATTCATTATTTAATCTACTGAATCCTTCTTTATGAAGTAGCATCTTCTATGTGCCACATTAAGAATCACAACCATGCCTTTGAAAAATCTGGATCTTTTATTATGATCACAGCATGAAGGTGACACAGATTAGAAATGAGACTAAACCTAACAATTTAGTCTCTCTTCTAAGGTTCAAATTTGGTGCATAGGGAAGACTGGGAAAGGAGATTGCTATATTATGGCCTTTCTGAGACATGATATCTCTGCTATTATTAATAATCAGGACCCTAGGAAATGTCATGATATTTTCTTCCGTGATGTTAAAATAGTTTTTTGAAATAGGAAAAAGCTTACTCTTTTTGAGCTCAAAATGTGTTTGTTTTTGTTTGTTTCAAGCTGAGATATCTGTAGTACTGATTCCCATGTCAGAGGATCAGAGATGAAGGCTTTCTTTTCTGTGCCTTGGATAAAGTAACGCTCATGGCACAGTGGTAAAGTGCTTGGCTGTGAACTAACGGCTCAGCAGTTTGAGCACGCCAGCCACACTGAAGGAGAAAGATGTGCTAATCTACATTTAGAAAGAGTCCAACCTTGGCAACATTGGCAGTTTGCCTCAGTCCCATAGGGTCACTGAGTTGACATGGATGTTACAATAACATATTTGGATGTGGGGGGTTTTTTGCCTTTTTTGATTTAAAATATCAAAAACATTTTCATGTTCGTTGATGTATTTTATAAGCATATAATATCATTGGCCCGTTTATCTAAACATAATCGATTGTTCATAATAGAAGAACAATACTTTCAAAAAGATTTCCCTTTCTTAACTTTTTTATGTATTTCTTTGGGGGGAGGAATTCTAGTTAAAAATGCATATTTTTAATCCAAAAATAATCCATATCAAAATATGGATCCAGAGTTACACTGCAAACCCAAAAGTATGGGTTCAAGCAGTTACTCCGTGGGAGAGAGATGGGTGGGCAGTCTCTTCTCTTGTTATTTCTTCTCATGTCTTTGAAAACTACTGGGAAGGTCAACTAAGAAAGTTGGTTCCAACTCTTCAACACATTACAACACCACCACATCATCTTTTTGAAGATAATTCTAAAATTTTATAGTCCTTTAGATGGTAATTCTCCACACAGTGACTTCACATACTCTGAATGTAGCTAATTTTTTTTTTCAATAAGGGAGATAGAAAAATTAGCAATCATACAGAGAATGAAAATGTTATTCTAAATGAATCTGTGGAAAAATTATGTGTATGATTTATTTTACTACTTACATGGTTCTTCTAGGATCTCATAGAAAGAGATGAGTGAAACATTACATGAGATTTTCATCTCAGAGTTTTTAATAATATCAAGCCATAACTATGACATCATGCTTTGAAAATGTCTCTCCTGTAAGGCTTGCTCCTGTGAAACTCTTTTTACCCATCAAATTTAGTAGACTTACTGGTATCTTTAAATGACTAATATCGGCTATGTGTTTAATTCTCCTTTGTTTTTATTTATATTTATCTCCTCAAGGAAAGAGAAATTTTGAGATTTTAGTTCTCTGGTCTCAGCATAGCTGGCAGATTTGACATAGCTTAGATTCTCTGAAGCAGATCATTTATTTAAATTGTCTTTTGGTAAGCATTTCATGTAACAGACACAGAAAAGTGAGTTTTAGGAAAATTTTTAATTTTCTGTATGTTCGTCAGCTTTCATGACTAATGTGCTTAGACTCTAAGTATCCCCTTTCTAGACCCTTTACGCTCTATGATACCAAAGGCCACGTGAACTGATTCTTAATGTGCCATAGAAAGAAAGCATTACTTCATTTCATGCATTGTAACATTAGCGTCTGTTGTATTTAGTGTCAAGTAAGCTTCCATTTCTCTTCTATGTATATTAATTGTAGATGACTCATCCATATTAACTGTCATGTGCTCTTTGCAAAATTACATCTTTCTCGTCTTTATTACCAGCTACTGTAACTTCTCCTAGTACTCCACCACCCATTGTCACCACTAACATGCCTGTTACTAATACAGTCAGTAAACCACAGGATGGTAAGAACTCATCATCTTTTATGTTTGTACTATGTCTAGTGTGATAAAAATTGTATTCTAAAGGTGAGAGTATCTTCTGTTTCAGCTACATTTGTTTATTACCCAAGACTTTTGACTCCATTAAGCATGCTTTTTTGTATTTACAAGACTAGTAAAAAAATCAAATAAATACATGTTACTTGGCCATTCCTTGGAAAGGGACATTAAACTTGGAAAGGTGCATCAGCGAAAGAGAGGAAGACCCTTAGCCAGATGAATGAACACGGTGACTGCAGCAAGGGGCTCAAGTATGTCAGAGATTGTGAGGATGGCGCAGGATAGGATAGGTTTCAGTTGTATTGTTCACAAGGTCAATATGAGTTGTACTTGACTCAGTGGCCCCTAACAACAACAACTAGACTCTCCAGTTCCCCATCTTTGTGGCCAGTGGAATGAATACACTGTGGGATTCTACACTGAAGGATTCTACTTGCCTACACTTTTAACTAAAATAATTTCCAGATGAAGTTTCAGGAGAAACATATGCAGTCCAAAGGAATTGGTCTGCATTGTAATACAGAGCTTTGAAAACAACTGTTCTTCTTGAGATCTCATAATTTTTTGAGATTTTGCTCTCCAGGAAACTAGTCTTTAAAGGATTTTATAATTTTAAAACACAAACATGCTTTACTCAGATAATATTGCTATGAAATCATTACTTATGCCGAGGCATTTGTGACATTGAAATCATTGCACAGTAATGGGGGGAAATGAAATGCGATTTTCTAACAACTAAATAATAAATTCCTTTTTGAATGACAAAATTTCAAGTAGCTGTCTCTATGTCTTTTCTCAAAGACATTTTTTTCAGTTTGTTATTTGTCCCTTGAAACTAAGAAATGAGCAGAGGGAAAAGCTTGGTAATTTGAGTTCTTATTTAACTCTCCTATCTGAGCCTCATACATATACATTTTTTGGTAATTCAGAGTTTGTGATTTTGGTTTCTTCTAAGAAAGGGACATTCCAAGCAGGTGACTAAACCATTGTCTTTAATACAGTCATGTGCTTGAATCTGAGATGTGCAAAACAAAGGGGTTTTTTTCAACCACGGTCTTAGTTGGTAAGGCTAAGACGCCTGTAATGTATCACCAGGGACTGAAATCCCAGCATCAAGAATTCCACATAGTTCACTTTTTCTTTGGGCTCTGAGGTTATATCAATTTCCTCTGGAAGGATATTTAAGTTGGAAGTATGGAATATTTTACATTAAATGTAGATATAAATTTCATTAGGGTTATAAAGGCATCGATTCAGGAGAGTGTTTATAGTTATTCTGGTAGTTACACCAAGGAGATTTATGATGGAGCAAAAATTCCAGCAACCCCCCAGAAAGCAACAGCAGCTGGACTTTTCAGGGCATATTTCACATGGCCTCCAGCCAGTAGATGGGAATATTATAATTCTAGCAGAGTATTTCAGTCTTTGTATGACTATACAAAGAGCCTCTGTGGCATTCTCCCTCTAGGAGAGGCACATCCTCTGCTGCCCAAGAACATTTAGATGATGCTTCAGAGTCCCTGCCTTGGTGGAATGGGGCCATATTCACTCAGTCATGTCATTTCTAACATTTTTGAAGAGAGCCTTGTTCAGCCCATCTCTCTTTGCGTCATAGCCTTCATTGGACTTTCAACAAAGCAGGGAAATGTTAGAATCTGTTTAAATGGCTTATTTTGATGCTGTTGAGAAAATAGAATCTAATTCAGCACTTAATTAATCAAAATTTAATTATAGCACTTAGAAAATAGTCAAAGATCGTTGATTGGTAAAAAAAAAATTCTTAAACATGTATACTCAAATTTGGTTACCATATTAACAATTATTTACCATATCCTTGATATAGTTACACTCTATTTACTTAATAGTTTTTTGTTGAGACTTCTTCCCCCCTCTGAAGTAACTCAGTTTTTCTGCTTTTATGAGGAATTTATTTCATTATTAAAAAATGAAATCACTAGTATAATTTGTTATAAAATAGAAAGTAAAAGTGAAAATAATGAAAACAGTGAAACAAAATTCTCCAGGAGTCTATTGCCTGCCATGTCTCAGAACAATTATTGTCTTTTTTTTTTTTTAAAATAGAGAGTAAAAAAATATTAAAATACAGGTTATAACATAATTAGAATTTTTCTTTGATGTGATCAGATTTGAAGTACTTCGAAGAATAATTACCTGATCTTTTGTTAATTGTAATTAATTCAGTTGATACGTTTGAGAGTCCTGTTTCATTCACTGGAAAGAATATAGACACAACTGTCATAATGTTGATTACATGTGGGATTCCCCCGCCCCCCTTTTTTAAAAAGCCCTCTGAACACTTAGAAAGTTTTATTGATTTCACCTGGAATGTCCAGTGTAAGGAGGGACAAAAGGTTGAGATTGTTTAACAAGCAGATAAATCTCTACCGTTTATCAGATTTTTTAATAACATAATTTACATTTTTATGTAGAAAATTAAAAGGAAACTATAACTGTGACCCCCACAAAATACTAAGGGTAAAATGTTTTGGGTTAAATACATATTAATTCACTTGATAGACCAGAGAAGAAATAAATCTTGACAACTAGACTCAGGGGGTGAACAGCAATTTGTATGAATTTTTCTCAGACTTCACCCAGAAAGGCACAGTTGCTTGCCTTGGAAATTTCTGGGCGCCAACTTTTCTAGCTTTACTGAAAATGTTATTTTTTTCTGTGATATTCTCTTTGTAATTCTCACTGGAAATGTTATCTTTTCCTTTAGGTAATATACTAAGAAAATAACATATACAGCCACTTTTCACAACAGTATTTTAGAATGTAAGGGGTTGTTGTGAAGTGCTGTGGAGTTGAATATGACTCATATTGACCCTGTGAACACTGTCCTATCCAGTGCCATCTTTATCATCCTCCACACATTTGAGCCCATTGCCATAGACACTAGCATCAATCCATCTCTTCGAGGGTCCTCTTGTCCTTCACTGACCCTCCACCTTCCCAAGCATGATGGCTCATTTTGAGGAATAGCCTCTCATACATGTAAGATGAAGCTTTAACCATCTTTGCCTTCAAGAAATGTTCTGATTGCACTTTGTCCAAGATATACCTGTTAATTTAAGTATTCATCAAAGAATGAAATTTGAACTTTTTAATTATATTCCCAAGAAAAGATCTTGATCTAGATATTGTTGCTTTAGAAATGTCTTCTAATCTTGCAGTAGTGATCTAGTAGTACAATTGAAAAATAAAACTTCTGTCAGGCTAGTCATAAGCAAGTCAAATCTTCTTTTCATTCATTTTATTCTTCTAAAAATATTATTAAAATATAGCTTATGAGTGCATATTACAACTCTGTTCTTTTATTACATCATTTCTAATGTGTATTTAGGTAGTCAAATTACTCAAGATATTTGTATCAATTAAAAAAAAAAATAATCTAACTTCATAGCCAACTTCATAGAAAAACTGTATGTCAGATTAGCAAGACTCCAGTTTTTGTCATATTTTAATTTGCTTTGTCACCAAAGATATAATCTTGAATCTAAAATAACATTTAGTTTATTCTTTAACATCTGTATTTTTTCAAACATGCGTTTTCAACTATACTTCATATGTTTTAAAATACTTTAGGTAAAGTATCATTTGTCTTAAGAAATTCCAAAGAGAGTGTTATTCAGAAATTTAAAAAAAAATGGAAAGATTAACTGAAAAGAATTAGAAAAGGAAGTACTGTTTTGATGATACATCTGTAAAAGCAGACAGTATTTCCTCTTGGAACCTCTGCATGATAGGCAGACTTATCTGATTAGAAGATGGAAAGATAGTTAAATAGTTTTTCTTTTTGTCACAGAAGTCTATCATGGTGTTTACCTGGCATGGGTGCCATTATTAAGACAGTACCTATACATCTTTGGGGGTTCCTGGAACAAATATTTGTGAATAGCTTTTGTAGTAAGACAGTACAAGAATTCTTACATCAATTGGAGAGGAAGATTTGAGGGTTATGACGATAGGGAAAATCCCTCATTGTTTTATCTTAATTGTGCATTTCCTGTGATGATAATGACTGGCTCAAGAATTTTGGTACAATCCCCAAGTCCTTCTCACCACCCCTTCAGCAGACGTTTGAAAAAAATCTTGCTCTGCTGATTCACTCTTGAGCATTCTTCATAATTAGTTGCTGACTACATCCTTCAACATTTTTAATAAATAGGAAAAAATAGACTGTTGAGTAATTTTTGGCTAAATTAATGAAATATTTGAAAGCTTCTTGAAGAGACTACATGAAAATTATTTATAGATCAGAGACTATAACACAAGACACAGGGTTACTTGAGATAAAAACTTTTATTTGCTAAAAGCAATATGACTCTAGGGAAAATTATCTATCTATCTATCTATCATCTACCTAATTTAACAATTTCCAATATTTTCAGTGTCCTTTTTTTCAGTAATTTTTTATGTATTTTTTATTTATAGTAACGATTCAGTCAGGAAGGACTTTAATATAAAGCAAATGTATCTTCATTGTTTGAATGTTTCAAAAACATTAAGAGATTAAACATTTTTTAAAATTTCTTTGCAATTTTATAGTATTTTCTGAAGCAAGGCAACACCAATGCTCTCATTGTACCAAAAGCATGCTTTAGGTCTCCACCTAGTGGTCCCTTGTCAGTTACTCGGCCAGCATCAGTGAATATTTAAAGATCCTGAAATATCTCTTTGATCCCTGGCACCTCATTTTCCTGCCAGTCATTGCATGCCCATAGTTCAGTATGATGAGATCTGTTTGCGTAAAGGAGTCCTGATTGACACAGTGGTTGGGCGCTTGACTGTTAACCTAAACGTTGGGTTATAACACTTGCAGCTATGTCAGGGGGGTGAGGGTGGGGGGGAATGAGGCAGCTTCAGTAAAGACTACAGCCGTGGGATCCCCTTGAGACAGCTGTACCCTGTCCTCCAAACATCACTAGAAGGTAAATCATCTCATTGGCAGTGGGTAATATGCAAAACTACTTTGAATAAGATTATTATTTATTGTAGTTCAGGGTTTTTTTGGTGGTTTTTTTTAAGGAATATAATGTCAATACATTAAACTCTTCAATACTTGAAGAGTTTCAGAAATTGAAATAAGGCGTGGCATTTTCTGTCCTTTGCATGCAGCTCTGATTCCCTGCAGGAAAGGCCCGCCTTTAGTAGTGGGCCAGGAATTTTCTTTGTGGTAGATTTGGCAGTTACCAGAGGCACACATTTGTGTCTTTTCCCCAGTCATTTTTCTTCAATTTCTGTGTTTCCCAACATTTTTTAAATTATATTCATCTACATTTTCTTTATTTTTTTTTACATTTTCTTGTACTAGTTTACACATAAGTTCCCTAAGCAAAAGCTTGAAGAAGGGTGATTGACAGGAATGAAGATTTAAAATTATAATTTTCTCTTGATAGCTTATCATATTTTAAAAGATTCTTTTACTCAGTGACTGCTTTTAAAAATTTCATAACTCTGGAGAAATGGAATAAACCATCATTGGTGAATATGGTTTTCATTTTTTGAAATATCAGAATATTTCAAGAATTGTCACAAAAATCTTCCTTTCATATGCTTGAAATTTTCTTCTTAACACAAGCTAGTCCACTGGAATCTTATCCAGAAATAGTGTTTTCTTTGATTCTAGTGGAAAAAGCAGAATATAATTTAAAAGTCTTATATAATTATCATCAGAGTGAATTTTGGGGGAAGAAATTGTAAGGAATATTTTATGTTTCATGATTAAATTGAGTTTTGAGGAGCAAATATTCCTGCTAGAGAAAACATTGTAAGGAAAATAAGGAGCCAAGAACAGTGAATAGATGCCCATTTTTCTTCTTCTTTTCTAAATTAACTCCTGCTCAACATCTCATTCTAGTTTTAGCATACAAAGGAAATAAGTAAACAAGGTCTCATCCCAAGTAATCAAACTAGACATTAAAAATCAACAGTAGGAATCAGCTATTTGTAGAATGAATAAACTGTAGTAAAAAATGAAGAAATAGATGTAGGCAGTTAAGTTTTTAAGTTAGGAGTTATAAATTACCTCCAAGAAGAAATTATTTTGTAACTATTCCTAAGAAGCTCAAAACAAAAATCTCAAATTTTGTATAGTGTATAATGTATCAGGCTGCCAACTGAAAGGCCAGGAGTTCCAATCCACAAGCTGCTTTTAATGGAGAAAAATGAGTAGTCTCCTTCCGCCATAAGGATTGACAGCCTGGGAAATTCGAAGAAGGATCGCTGTGAATCTGAAGTGACTCAGCAGCCATGGGTTTGGGTTCTGCATAAAGACTTTTAAAATATATGAAGAAGAGAATGTGAATTAAATGATAATTATAAAATTCATGTACTAAATCCTCTTTCCAATGGACAGATGGAATTATCTATAGGATTTCCATAGTGCTTGAAAACATTGTTCGTCATCCTGAGGTAAAAGTACAGAGCAAGGTAGCCGAATGGGTAAGTGAATATCGAAATGTTTCTTTTTTTTTGTTTCTTTTAAATGTTAACCTCTGGAAATCCACAGAGACACAGCTTTGAAACTCTGGAAAGGCTGTGCCGTAAGGATAACTGAGTCCACAGATTATACTGCAATTCTGACAAAGCTTGTTATGTGTGAACAGACAGGAGGTACTGCATTTACGTGTAGAGAAGTGCATTTAAATAAAAGTTCAGGAGTGGAAACTAATATTTGTAGTGACTTAAATAAGGAAAATAACAAACAATGAAAATGGTTTGTTTTTTTTTTTTTAAATATGCAATGCTTCACAAATTTGTGTGTCATCCTTGCGCAGGGGCCATGCTAATCTTCTCTGTATCATTCCAATTTTAGTATATGTGCTGCCTAAGCGGGCCCCAAAATGGATTTTTATGAATGTCTTTATTAACTGTTATAACCATACATTTTCAGGACTGTTTTTGAAATGAATTTTAATACTTTACTGATAATGTCTAGATCCCATGAATTTACAAATTACTTTTTATTTTTGGGGCTTTTTTGTGTTTACAAATTACTGTTTATTTTGGGGGCCTTTTTTGTTTTCAGTCCTATAGATTGTGTTTCTTTTTGCTTATAAAGGCAAGTAAGAGTGTTGTTGTGCACCTTGAAGTTGCAACTGATTCATAACTGACCCTCCAGCAGGTTTTCAGAAGTTGTAAATTGTAGGGGGAGGGATAGCCCATATTTCTCCCACAGAATAGTCAGTGGATTTGAACTGTGTGCCTTTGGGATGGTAATATAACTCCTTACCACTAGGCCACCAGAACTCCTTAATTAGAGTGTAGATTAATTTTGTTTCCTCTCTTTTTACAATAAAAGTAACATAGTCTACATGTTATTCTGTGTGTTTTTATTATTATTTAATATTAATAAAAGCATAGTTTACACATACCTCTGCACAATTTTCCTTATTATTAACATTTTGCATCCTCATGGGTATTCTGGTGGCCTGGCAGGTAAAGAGTTGTGCTGCTATTTCTAAAGGCAGAGATTGAATCAATCAGCTTCTCTGCAGGAGGAAGGGGCAGTCTCCCGAATTCAGTTGATAAACTCTGAAAACCCACAGGAGGATAAGCTATAAGTCAGTTCTGACTCGGCAGCACTTAACAGTAAATCAACTCTTACTGTGTTGTACAGTTCTGTAGGAGTTTACAAATGCTTAATGTCATGTACCCGCAATTAAAAAGAATTAACCTCTCTTTTAAATTTTTAACCAGTGCATATTATCCCATTATGTGACTGTGTAGTGACTTGTTTAACCAGTGTTCTCTAGATGAACATTTACGTTAGAATTTAAGCAATCACCTAGAGAAACATTTAATAATTTCCGATTAAAAAACAAAGTTTTCATCTTCCCTTTACAAATACAATCTACACAATTTTTATAATTCTTATCCACAAAAATAGCAAAAATTTATTTTCTATTTTCTATTTCTCTCTTCATTCTTTTCTGTTCACTGCATACTCTGAAGTTTGTCCTACTTACAATGTGAATGTTAGTTTTTTGTTTGAATAAAGTCAATAAAGTGTGTGTATATGCATTTTTGGAGGAAAATGGCTTACCTCATGCAATAGCATATGGCTTGTTCTCTTTTCCCCCCATTTATAGTCGTAATGATTTTAAAATATATACACTTCTCCAACTCTCAAATTCAGTGGTGATAATATTAAAGCTGAAAGTTAGGATTCATTTAAGAACCTGATACTTCAGACAAGGTGTAATTTTCTTTTTTTTTAATTATTAAATTTTATTAGTTTTAATGAACATTTACAGGGATTTTGGGTTTTCATTCCTTCATTGCTGACAAGGTGTAATTTTCATTGAACATCTGCATTGTGTTTGCATTGCAAAGCATTCAGTATAGAATCATAATTATCTGAAGTGAAATTTTCCTGGATCCTTTTCCTTTAAGATGCAAAATACTAAGGCAGGCTTTTTGTAGTAGAGAGAGCATGGGCTGATCTTGTTTCACCCAGTTAAAATTTACAATTTCAAAAAGCAGTGTCACATTTTGGCCAACGTTTGCATAAGTTTACATTCAGTGACTTGCAATGAAGTAAAAATGATTGTTTGAAGCAAAACTTGAAGGGCCACTTAAGAGGTGAAATGTAAATAGGAGCATGTTGTGTCCATGAGGAAATCCTGTGTGTGATCGCAGTGGAAAATACACCGTGGAAGCTTGGTGTTCATCTGGAAAGCATTCCATTAGAGAAGTCTGCTGCAGAGACCCATAAAGGCTGTGAAATAGTCACATAATAGTCGTGTATTGTTCTCAGTAATGTTGAGCTTAATTTTCATTTCTGTCATGGTTTGATTTTCAATGGTTTTTCTTTCTACACTATCTTTATTAGAGAATAATTACCAGAGAAACATGTTTTATTGCATCTTGATGTTTATTTAACTAAAGAATATGAAAAGTACTACTTTTGTGCTACTCTGTTACAGATATGTTCTCAGTGTTATAGTAAGAATCTTAATAGACACCTATGATGTGAGGCACAGAAGAAAGTATTAGTTTTCTAGACTGACAGGTTCAGTAAGAAATCTAGCTGCTCCTTAGGAAACACTAGTCAAGCTGTTTCATCTCTGTGGAACTCACTTTCTTCATCTTTAAGATGGGAGAAAGAATTCCTATCTCCTGGGATGTTTTGAGGCTTGAAAGGAATAACATTTTCAGAGAGTTCCTGGCATACAATGATCCGGTAGCTCTTATCTTTACCTTTGACTTCTCCAACTCTCCAGGATTTTCCCAGGGTCTTAGTCCAATAACAACTTATCTTTAGGGAGGGAAGAAACTTGATTCAGATAAAAGAAAACAAGAAAATGCTCAAAACTCACCCTTTCCTATTGCATTTTTTTCCAGCTCAATTCAACATTCCAGAATTGGAACTACACTGTGTATGTGGTTAATATCAGGTAATTGACAGGATGAATTCTTTTAAGAAGTTTTAGAAATTGTGTATCTTGATTTCTTCACTCTGAGAGTACCAATACACATTGTTGTTATTTTTGGTAGGTGCTATTGTATCGAGTAGAAAAGCCATAGCGATCCTATGAACAGCAGATCTGAACCTTGTCCTATAATTATTCGAACCTCACACTTTCCAGCACTTTAGAGCCTATTGTGGCAGTCACTATATCGATCAACCTGGTTCGAGGGTCTTCCTCTCCTTCGCCGACCCTCTGCCTTTCTGAGCATCATGTTCCTCTCTAAGCAACAAGTTCCTCTCCTAAAAACATGCTCAAAGTATGAGAGGCAAAGCCTCATGATCTTTGCCTCCAAAAGTTCTGGCTGCACCCTCTCTATGTCATATTTGTTTGTTCTCTTGGCCGTCCATGAGATGTTCGGTGCTCTTCTCCAACACCACAGCTCAAAGGTATCAATTTTTCTGTCATCCTTATTCACTGTCCAGGTCTCAGATGCATAGGACGTGATCTTTCAGATGCACTTGAGTCCTCAAATTGACATAATACTGCAGACTTTACTAGTGCAACAAATCTTTTGATTTCCTGACTACTGATACCCAGGATGTTAATTCTGGAACCCAAGTAAGGTGAATTGTTGACAGTCAATCTTTTCTCCATCTGTCATGAACAATAGTACAAATCTTTCTTTTCTTGACATTGAAATGCAATCCATATTGATGGCTGTATTCCTTGATCTTCTGCAACAAGTGCTTCAAGACTTCCTCACTTTCAGTAAGCAAGGTAGTTTTATCTGCATAACACAGGTTATTGATGAGTCTCCCTCTGATTTTGATGCCACATTCCTCTCCCTAGAGTTCAGCTTCAAGAATAATTTGCTCAGCATACAGATTGAATAGGTATGGAGAGAGAATACAATCATGACCCACTTCAGTCTTAATTTTAAACCATGTAGTGTTCCCTTGCTTTGTTTTGCACAAAAGCCTCCTGCTCTCGGTATAGGTTAAGTACTCTCAGCTTACTTACATACTCTCGTATTCCTGTTATTCTCAATGTTAGCCATAACTTGTTATGATCCACACAGTTAACTGTCCTTGCATGCTGTTGTTGTCATTAAATGCTGTCAAGTCATAGACGACTAATAGGATCCCTGTGAATGAAAGTCCTTGACACTTGCATGACTTTCATCCTTTCTTCAGTGTAATAGGGTTTCCAGAGGCAAGTGGATGCCACTCCTGCTTCCAAGCTTGTTTAGTTAAAGCATAATAGTCATTCTTCTGGTGTTCTTTACTTTCAGCCAAGATCCATCTGACATCAGCAATGATATCCTTGGTGCCACAGCTTTTTTTAAAATCCTGTTTGAACTTCTGGCAGTTCCCTGTCTGTATACTGTTCTAGCCATTTTTTAATTCTCTTCAGAGTGTTTTATTTGCATATGACATTAATAATACTGTTTGATAATTCCATATTATGTTAGATCATCTATTTTGGGAATGGTAACAAAAATGGACCTCTTCCAATTTGTTGGCTAGACAGCTGTTCTCCAAATTTCCTGGCATAAACTGGTGAGCACATACAGGACTGCATTTGTTAATTGAAACAAGTCAGCTGGTAGGTATCCCATTGATTTCTGGGACCTTATTTTTGGCCAATGCCTTCAATACAGCTTCCCCTTCTTCCTCCATTCTTATTGGCTCCTGCTCTTATGATTCTTTCTGAAATTTTTCAGTGTCAATCAGTTCTTTTTGGTATAGTGATTCTGTGTATTCCCTCCATCTTCTTTTGATGTTTTCTGGGTCATTCAATATAGCATCTTTCAATATTGCAACTAAACTATAAATTTGTTTTTCAGTTGTCTTGGATTGAGAAATATAGAACAAGTTTTTCCCTATTTTCCTTCTCCAATTCCAGCTCTCTGAACATTTCATTATAATACTTTGCTTTGTCTTCTCAAGCTTCCCTTTGAAATCTTCTGTTTAGCTCTTTTTCTTCAGTATATTTCCCCTTTGTTCTGCCTTCTTGATGCTCTAGTACAATTTTTAGAGTCTCTTCTGGCATCTATTTAGATTTTTTTCTTTCTCAAAAATAAAAATCTTTTTATTTTTTCTTTGTAATGACTGCTTTCTTCATGGATGATATCCTTGATATTATTCACAGCTCATCTGGTCTTTGATCATTGATGTTCAAGGCTTCAAACCTATTCTTGAGATCATTTTATTCTGTTTTAATTTTAATTTAACCCACACACATACCTGCACACAAATACACGTACATGTATGCACATACACACGTGGACCATAATCAATTTTTTTAAAGCAAGAAAGACCCTTCCCAAGGTGGATCGGCACACTGATTTGCCACAATAATTCAGCTTTAGCAGGACAGAAATCTTGAGGTTGGAACAGGATAGGGTAAGGTTCAGACGTGCTGTTCTTAAGGTCACTGTGAATCATAGACAACTCAGTGGCACCTAACATCAGCAACATATGATGTCATTGCTCTGCACAGAGGGTCCCAATGCTGTAGGAATAATGTCTCAATTTTTTATCATATACCCATACCATTTTTTAAAACAAATTGCATGTGTGCACCAAAATTTCTACTTTTAAATATATTGCTTATGAAATGACTAATATATTTTATAATATATCAAAAAACCTAAAGGACAATGAACTTTAAATATAAACTGTCTTAGGTTCTTCTCTTGCCCTGGTGGACCATCCAGAGCATTCCTGCGTTGTATGCACCTACTTAAAGACCACATTTTTCTATATAAGACATTTGCGATATGCTTGCAACCAAACTTTTAAAATTCCTTCTACCTCTAAATCCTCCACTAAACTCTCTGACCAAGATTATATTACATCAAGATTACTCTAAGATTACGTATCCTTATTTGTACATTATTTTTATTGTTATAAAATTAAAGTTCTCATCCTTAGTGTTGTTCATGAGCCCTAAGCCTGTATGGAATGAGCCAATGAGATATGACAGTCCTTGGCACAGAAAAAGGGGTTCCATGGTCAGAAAAGCTGGGGACGATATTGTTTAAATGAAACATATTTCTTTGTGTGATAAATTTTCAGACTCTTTAACAGAATAATAAGCATTATACATCTTCACAAGACAACAAGTATATAGTTAACCTGCTGTATTTGACCACAGTGTCATTTTGTTGTGGGAATAAGAAGGAGCTACTATTTCAGAACACGTTTGGTTTGGAAATGCTGATTTAGGATGACCCTTCCCCCTCTTTCTCTCACCTCCCCAAGTTTTGTTGTTAGTGATAGTAGAGTGTGGAGAATGATAACGAATGTAAGTATTTGTATTTTAGTCTTCATCTGAACACTGGAGAGGACAAGATTAAAGTCAAGAGAAGCACTGAGGATGATTCAAGGTAATCATGAAAAAGTCTTTCATAGTGAGCATAATGTTATTGTCTGTTTGTGATCTGGTATTGAAATAAAACCAATTAGATAGGACAACAAAATTTACTCAAGTACCACAATTAAGGTAATCATTGCTAATGAGCTTTTATTTAGATTATTTTTTGCTTAATACCATTAAAGAGTTACTAGAAATGTATGTCTGTTGAAAAAGAAATCTGAATTTAACATTTAAAATATCTAAGTTAATATTTTCAGTCTTCCAATTTATTATACCTCCTTGTTGTTGTTGTTATTGTTATTGTGTTCTGTCTTGGTCAAGTGTAAACCGACCCACAGATGAACTTCCAGTGGGTTTTCAAAGGCAGTGAATCTCAAGGGAGGAGATTGCCCATCTTTATTCCACAGAGCTGGTGACAGTTTTAAACTGCGTGCCGGCTGGTCCGAGTGCAGTGGAGGCCACAGCTAACTGATCACAGCCAGTTGAACTGCATGCTTTTAGGATTGCAGTGCAGCTTCTTACCCCTAGGCCACCTGAGTGGCCTCATAACTTCTTACCTATACGAAATTTTGGAGACATTGAAAGTGAAAACAGTATATTGTGTTTTGGGGATTCTCTCCTTTTTTTAATGGCTTGATAATAATATAATAATATTGGTATTAAATATAAAAAATCTTTTCACCCTTTAAAATCACGAGATAATACTCTGAAATCTTCATTTTTAAAATTTATGTCAGCACCATGACTTAAGCAGAAGGTAATTTAATGCCTATTCCCACTCTTGTGAGAGCCTATTGTTCAAAGTTCAGTGAGAGTTAAAAATCTTAAACTCTTAAATGGAAGAAATTTAGAATTTTCAGTGTTTATATTATATCTCTATAGTAATTGGAAAATTAGCTGAAAAGCAAATGTCCTCCCAAGTTTTGCTCTGTTTCAGTGGATGGAGTTGATGTTGTGGATATATGGCCATGATAGTGTATTCCTCTTGAGGTGATTTATTCTTGCTTTTAGAAAATTTTAAAAAAGATATACTGTATTAGAGTTTACAAGGCTTTTAATAATTTCCTTATTTCTATTCAACATTGAAAAAACAATAAAAAATTATATTGAACTGTCTTGTTTTTGTAGGCTAGCTTGAACTATCAGATTAGTGAAACATTTTTCTTGTGTTCTGTCTCTTTTCCTTTTCCTTGATGATCTGGAAAACACAGGTCTCCCATGTGTTCTCGGTGGTGTCTGCATTCCTCTGCCTATTTGGCCAAAGAATTTACTTTTCAGCCCTCCTGCTACATCTCATTCACCTTTGAAAAATAATTCCCAATGAGCACCTGTAGCGCATTTGTCCAGTAACTGGGGCAGTGCTCATTTGGGGTCTTGCCAGCTGGTGCCCTTCTCTAGAGAGCCAGCTTTGTCCTTTTTAGTTTATTTATATCATTCTTCTACCTGGTAGGTTTTTGGGTTTTTTTGTGGTTCTTTTTTTTTTTTTTAAATTTAGGTTGTTTATTTTTCATTTCAATGAACATCTACAGAGACTTTGGAATTCCATTCATTCATTGTTGCACCCTTCTCCCTGCACAACCCCCCCCCCCCTGGTTTGCTCCTTGAAAAGCAAAAGAAAAGGTGTGGGGGGGATTGTGTACCTGGTAGTTTTAAACCAGCTATTGTTAGTGCATATCAGCATCACTATAGTTCTTGCCTTTTCAAAGGTATTTAAGTTTATATAATCTCAGTTTTTCTAATTGGTTGAACTCTGTGGTACAGTTTCACAGAAGGAGAATGAAATAGGTCAGTGTGTATATAAAAATCCCTGTATTTGGAGTTTGTTTGGGATGAACCCTCAGTACTGTTGTTATAATTATACTTGTAGCTTTCCCCCCATTTCTTTTGTTTGCTATTCTCTGTTCATTTACTCATTGATGAACCTTTAGAGACTTTTATTGTTTTCCTCAAAACTTCAGTTCACTAGTTGTAACACACCTTCTTCAGCACTACTCTTTTTCAGTTGGGTTGTATCACTTAACACAGGCCAAAGCTTCAGATAATGCTGTCTGTCCTCTTCTATGCCCCAGACAGACAGGAAACCAAAGCCACAAGAGACCGGCTTATTCAGGTATAGACTGGTTTGATGGTAACAATAGATAGAACATGACTTCATAGAAAAATAAAATAGCTCCAATTTTCAGGATGAGAGAGAGGAGTAAAAAAAACCAAAACAAAACAGAGATAAGGCCAGGGGAAATAGATGGCTATTCCTAAATTGCTGTGTTAAGGCATACAGTACCCTCCACAATTCATTATGCTAATTATCTTCTCAGTACATAAGAGAAAGAGAAGTTCACTGTCTCAGTCACTAGAGTGGCAAGGCTTATCTCAGCAAGTTAGATCAAAGAATTCTTTTTGGTAAAACATTTAAAAGATTCTTGAAGTGCCACAGTTCCCCATTCCAATCACATTTCCTTGTGGCTCATCCTGAAATATGGGCTACATGTAAACAGCAAGCTGTAGATGGTTGAGAGATAAGTCGGTTTTCAGAGTGAATTATGAGAATAATATAACCCTCTGTCCTTGAGATTGGCATAGATATTTAGGAGACCAGAATGGAGCTATTCCTTCATTTCATTTAACATTGAATAGCAAAAGTCACTTGTTCTTTCTCTTTTTCTTTTTTGGGGCTTTATACATATTTCAATATTCTTACTATTTCCTTTTCACTGATACTACTAATGGGCTTATATAAAGGAAAATAAGCTACTGTCTATGTGGAATGCTCTGTAGCTATTTCACAAGCAATGCTATTGGTATGATTTGACATTGTAGCTAGTGTTGATTTTGATATAGTAGCTAGTGTTGTTTTTGACATAGTAGCTAGTGTTGACAATACTTTATCTTACACCATCACCATGTTATTCATTAGTCCTCAGAGTCTGAAGAAGGTGGAGGCTTTGTTGCAAACACCAAGCCTTGATGATATAAGAAAATAAAGATCTTCTTTAGCTGACAAAATATTTTATTTACTCCAGTGTGGGGTGAATAGTTTTGATTTCTGCTGTTAGCTGTGGCTGTGATATCATTTGGATAGAAAAGCTTCAATTTGTAATGCCAACTTCAAATTGTAGTACCAACATTTTGCAGGGTTTGAGTGCATACTTTCTTATAAAAAGTCCTATAAGTTTGGATATTCTGTGACTTTCTTCAGTTAGGTGCTGACAAACCACAGAGTCCATTTTCAGTACTTCTCTTCTAACCTTGGGCCATATAAAGTACTTATAAATGCTTAGAGGAGATGGAAAAGTCATAACCTTAAAGAGATTGTGTGCCACATCTGTAGAAGAATATTCTTCACAAGTAATTTCACAAGTCAAATGATGCGTGGAAACTTAACTTTTTCCGACTTAAAAACCCCAGGTTTAATTTTCCTAAACCATAAACCCCTCAACAATGTAGATTGAAGTGCCTTGTGGCCTTTTATGCACATATGCTGTGAGGTATTTGGAAGTCTGTGAGCTGGTAGACCTTCACTCTTTCAACAGTTTTACCATTAGGAGAATCCTAGAGGAATCTGTGATTCCACATTTGCTTTGATGAGTTTCATCAACTTCATTCCTTGGAGAATATGCACAAGAGATTTCTCCAAGCCATCTTGAGATGTTTTCAGCAGTATAATGCTCTCATTTATAGTCATGAAGAATGTCTAGTTTTGTAATGTAATTTGAATCCGAATTCCATCAGGTGGATCTGAATTATGGCTTCCCCACATAGTTCTTAGTAAGGAGATATCTTCTTCCGCAGTAGATAGACAGAGAGGTGAGTAGGTATGGAGGTAGGTAGATGATAAAAATGTAGAGATGGATTTAGAGTTACTGTTCATATTTTCTTGGTAAAAATAAGAAATTAAATTGGTTTTGCATGTACTTTATAGTTAAGTAAAAGTCAGTCAAGTCAGAAAAAAATGTCAAGAGACATTTCCTGCTGATATTAATTTACTCATTAGCATTGCACAGAGTAAGAGCCTTGAAATAAAGAAAAAAACAAAAAGAAAGCTTGCATTTGCGTGAGTTTTGATTTAGCTCTTTCTGAGTCTCCTACTGGTTCTTTATTACATTAATACTGTTGATGTCTCAGTCTCTTCTTCGTATCTTTTGCTTCTAGACTATAGTCACCATTTAGAAAATTTGAGTTGCATTGAATTACTCAGTAACATGACCATATTTATAACTTTATTTATAGAAATCCAGAGTCAATAAAGGTTTAAGTTTTCTTGTTCTTTCAGCCTAGAATTTAGGCTCGGTTTCTTTTCCAAGTAAACCCTGTTCTCCACCTTGACCTCTTGGTACCACCTGTCTCATAAATAAGAGAGAATTGAAAAGGTTTTGTCATCAGATAATGATAATTTGGGAGTATCTGCTAAATCAATTTAACAGTGTACCCCTTTATGCTAGGTAAAGAAAAATGCCTGGCAGTTGTCTTGGGCTTTCATATGTGGCCAGTCATTGAGAATCAAAAAGTTTTAGCACAAGTCTAGTAGTGAAGGTTGGAGGGTTAAAAGGTACACACACCCTATCTAGAAAAGATTAAATAAACAAAAAGCCCACACTTATGGCAACAGAAGTCTACATATAATCTCTTATGATAAATATAAATTTGTATTTTTAAAATTTTTTTTAAGAATTATATTCTTTTTTGTGTGTGTACCATCAAATCGGATCTGACTGGTACAAGAAGAGATTACCCCTGCTTCTCCAGCAGAGCATCTGGTGGATTCGAACTACGTACCTCTGGAATTGCAGTGCAGCTTCTTGCCACTAGGCCACCAGAGCTCCCTTGATAAATTTTAATTTTTTAAAAGACATTAATGTTTTAATTTACATAGCATCAGAGAGTCCATGGGCACCTGGAGAGCTCCTGAGTCTCGTCACTTAGAGATGGACGTTCTCACTAACATACCCACTTGTTTTCTTTTTCTTGATGAGGAACAGTCATCCAGTCAACAACGTCCCCAATGGTTCTGTATGAATTTTTCCTTAGGTTGATGATTTGGGCCCTTCTTGTTTACAACGCTACCAACAATGACAACTTAGAAGGAAGAACCATTCAGCAGAAGCTCTTAACAAACAATGATTCCCTGGATGAGGGCTTGAGGCTGTTTAGAGTGAGCGTGCGGCAACTGGGTGAGTGACTTTAATTTCCTCATAATAGGTGTTTTGTAGAACTGTGTTTATAGGCTTAATTGAAACCTCAATAAAGAGAATAACAACAGCAAAAGGTTACGTCTGGAGAGTTTTCAAAATATGTAAAATGAGGTGATGAATGGTGGAGCCTGGATATGACATGTGGAGTCAGCTCACAGGCATCCTCTTACCATCCCCCCCCAAATATCCAGGCAGAAGATGTAGTTCGAACATACAGATATTTTTAAATAAAGTCTTCTCTCCACTCAATGGAAACACTATGGATGCGCTGTTTTGTAGGTTTTTCTCTAACAAGAATGTATTTTATATTTTGCAAGATTGCTTTTCTTTTAGGAAATCCTTCTTAGGAAATTTTTCTTATTAGGAAATCCTGATAGTACAGCCATGGAGCACTTGGTTGCTAACTGAAAGGTTGGCAGTTCAAACCCCATAAGCTCTTCTGTGGGAGAAACATATGGCAGTCTGCTTCCGTAAAGATTTATTTATACCTGGAAACTATATGAGGCTGTGTTACCATGGTAATAGACTTCATTCCAGGCGGGAAGTGGCTCTTGATAGTTCATTCTATGTGTTACTTTGTATACTGTGAATAAAACTTTGTTGCTTCATTTTATTAATTTTATATGCTTTTACTGATTTACTTTGAAATGAAAATGTTGCATATATGCTTATACCTGCTAATGCTGTGGGGATTTTCCTTTTTTTAGCTTGATGGTGTTATAAGATGCAGTTTTATTATCTGGAATAGAGTTAATATTTGTTTTACCTAATCTATCAACTTGTATACATTTAGAACATCTTAAAACTAGTATTTTTGTATTACACAGAAAAGAAAAATATAAATTACCAACCTTGTAGTTTTGACCTCATCTTGTCACCACTAATTTAAATGGATTCATGTGTCCTTTGTTGTTTTTATATTCACATAGGTACTTGCCCTCCAAATGAGAACCCTAAAGGCTACAACTGGCCCGGCATCCAGCCTTCTGAATATATGCTACCCTGTCTTGGGAAACCTGGGTTTAAGGCTCTACGGATATGGTAATTCTCTCATTGACTCATGTCAACAAACACATATTATCTACTCTCCTAGTATTGTATATTATCCTAATTTCTTGGGACAGTCATAACAAAATGCCCAAACGTGGATAGTTTTAAAGAATAGAAATTTGTATTTTTATAGTTCTAGAAGCTAAAAATCTAAACTAGCATCTAGATTTCTCCTGGGTAGTGAGAGATACTACCTCATTCCGTTTCGTAATTATTGCAGTCCCAGTGTTGCAGATGTTCCTCGATTTGTACAGAGATCTTCACATGGTATCTCCTCCCTGTGTGAGACTTTTTCCATAAGTGTCATTTTAAAAAAAATGTTGCTCAGAGGGGTTGAGAGGAAAGCCCACTCAACTTTGTTATGAACTCATTGTATCTGGTAGCATAAAAGAAACTCTTTCCTCAAACAAGGTTACATTCAGTGCAGGGTGACAACTTCAGCATATCTTTATGGGAGGTACAGTTCCATTCATATTACACACAATACATGATGATTCTGTGCATTGTTTTAATTATGGAAAAAGGTAGGCCTCTCTGTGTTTACTTAAATCATATACTCAGTAGAGAATAACACTTAGGCCAGTAGTTAACCTAGAAAGCCAGTGTTTTCTTTCTAGTAACATGCGTATTTAAGCTTCACCATCAACAGAGTCAGGAAATTGAATATGAAAGAGTGGCTCCAGAGCAAAGCAAATTGTATAGGGAATCTGCTGACAGGCCTGGAACCAGCACCTGCAATTCCGAGACCAAAGGGAGAATAGAGATGAGATCCAGTGGAGGTCATGTTTTGCTAAGCGGCTGGATGTAGATTTTCCCTGAATGTTCAACCAAAAACTTCTTCCTTGACTCAAAATAGATCTAAAGAAAAAAAAATCTATTTTGATAATTCAGAAACTGGTCATGTATAAGGACTGGTGCATTTTACTAGACAGACGTGTGTGTGTAGGTGGGGGGGGTTGTCTTCAGAGACAAGAAGACACTGATGGTGGTGGTGGTGATTTTAGTTACTTGTGTTGCTGACCAAATGTTAACCACTCAAATCCGCCTCCTTTTGAGAAGGATGGATAATCTCCCCTCATAAGAGGTTTATAGCCAGAGAAAATGATGGAGGGTTTCCTAGAGTTGCAATGACCCAACTGTTGTGTCCTTTGTTTTAGTGACGTAGAGACTAGTTCTCCCTGGCTGTGAGGCCATAGAACATTCTTTCTTATTGTCTTGAGTCAGAACCTGTGCATAGCTAACCCTCCCACAGGTTTTCAGAAGCAATAAATCACACGGGAGGAGATTGCCCATCTTCCCCCCATAGAGCGGCTGGTTAATTCAAACCGCATGCCTTTGAGATTGCAGCACAGCCTATAAAAATCCATTTTCTTACCTTGAAATGTGGACCTCAATCTATTTAACAGTTAGACAATGATTAAAAATCATACTATAGGAAGAAAGCTTGTAAAGCAGTACTTGGCTCATGACCTCATGATACCAGATGTGCTTTCTCTACCTCCGGTCATCTACTGTATCCTAGGTTAGAATACCTTATTTGGGATGCTGTTACTTGTTTTACATTTCCATTGGGATTTGAGTGAATGTTTACAGAGGACACTGGCTATCCGTCCAACAAGCTGTTACACACGTTGTTTCCTGACATTGAATATAATCCCTACAATGTAAAAACATTCTTCCCATTACCTGCCAGCTTCTTGTCTGTTTCCATTTGTCTTTTTGGTAAGTGTATATTCCTGTTGGCCGATCTTTATCTCTCAGCTTATACTGCCCTTCTGATCTTGTGTATTTATTACCCAAAGGAGTGCTTTCCTCCCTGCCTTTAATTGGTCACCTTATGTAGGCCTGTTATTTGACTAGAAATTGAGTCACAGGGGTCATTTGAGTTTCAGTCTTGAAGGGTGAGTAGGAGTATATAGCCTTAGGGGCTCCACCAGCTTCTGTCAGACAGGTAACTGAGGTCATTCTTAGGATTTTGAGTGTTTCTTCCACATTTTTCTCTCATTCAGTCACTCTGTGGTCTATTATGATCCCTTTCAAAGTAGCTAAGTGCTGTATAGATAAGCGCTTAGCATCTTGGTTTCTTTATGCATGCAACTGATTTTTAAACAATTAAAAAAGATACGTATGATGTTTCGGTGTGTTTTCCCCCCTCCCCTAGTGCATCACAGCTTCATTTAAAAAAAAAAACTTTGTCAGATGGTAGTATCAATTCTGAAATGTAGTATAAATTAACTGTGTCTCGTATAGTGCTATTGATATCAGTTATTTGAAATGTCCTTTCTCTTTTCATAGTTATCAGGATTCGTCCAATGCATCTCTAGCCTACTGGGGCCCTCCTGATCTCTCCAACTGTTCAAGTAAGTGCGGGCATATCCTTTTATGGAAGACCTCATGAACTGACCCAAGCCTTCCTGGTCACTGTCCTCTTCAAACATGTTTTCTTCCTGCCTGACAATTATGTAACAGGAAAAGGCAAATAGCTATTTTACTTAAGGTTTCAAGTTGTTTGTTCTCATAATTTTCTTTTGTGCTCATCCTTACGGCAGATGTAAAAATGATAAATAGAAGAAGAGTATATGAACGTTTATAAATATCACTGTTTTGTACATTGACATTATTTTAAAATAGAAAATACATGCTAATTCAGCGATGCTTTGGAGCATTGCTGTTCCAGAGATAATGTTCATGTTGCTCCTACTAACTTATTTAGTGAAGTTACTTAAAAGCATCATTCACATCTTACTAAACAGAGAAGGGACCTTCTGTTTCTCACTTTAAAGATGTATTATTGCCATGTGAAGATAGTGGTAAGGGATTGGACACAGGAAACCTCCTTTAACGATGAAATGAGATGTTATGATCTGTTGGAGATTCCTGGAAATTTTCAAAGCTCACAGGTTTTGTGTATTGGTTTTTTCCCTGCTTCTTTTAGGGAGCCTAGAGGACGCCAATATGATTATAAATCTGACTAGCGACGGGCAGAACTTAACCTCGGCCAATATCAACAGCATTGTGGAATATGTGAAAAAAATTGTCAATAGTGAAGAAAATATTGATTTAACACTTGGCTCAGCTCTGATGACTATATTCTCTAATATCTTAACCAGTTCAGACAGTGACTTGCTTGAGTCTGCATCTGAGTAAGTATGGTTTTAAATTAACATTTATTAGATAAATGTGTTGTATAATTTCTCACACATATGCCTGCTTTCTGTATAAATTGCATAAAGACAGACCTAATATTTACCAAGGTCATTCACACACACACACACACACACACACACACATCATTAGAAGTTCTTTTTTGATTCTTGAAAAATATAATAATGGTTAAAATTTTCACTGGGCAAGTTTACATAGCTAGCCCAGGGAGGTATAATCAATTGTGGTGGTTTGTTGGGTTTTTTTTCTTTACTTGAAACAAGATGATAAACTAAAAGCAGTTGTAAAGATTGTTGTGGAGTTTTTTTTAAAAGATATCTGTTTCCTCATAAAAGAGACATTCACCAAACACTCAATTTATGCATAACTTTGTCACTAATAACTTATTATCCTTATTAACAATGTCATAGAATTGTTAAGAATCATGCAGTTGTACTTCTGAAAAGAAAACTCCTGGGGCAAGGTATATAATGTACCTATATTTATACAATTTGGTGTGTATCTAGTTATTTCATTTAATGTCTTAATACTACACTTTAGAATTTTTGTTTTCTGTCTCCTCCCTTTCCATCAAATGCTCTTGATGAAAATTTTAATTTTCTAAAATATGTTCTTCAGTTCATCTTCTCTACAAAGCAATAATTAAGATATTTTTTTCATATTGCAGTTCAAAAACATTCTTTCATTGTATTTCCTTTTATTCTCCCAAATAAGTTAGGACATGCTGTTGTTGTTGTTGTTGTGTTGTGTACCTTTGTGTCAGAACTGACCCTCTGGCACGTTTTCAGGGTCGGTTGAGCACATGGGAGGAAATTGCCCATACTTCTCCCACCTCCCATGGAGCAGCTGGTGGATTTCAACCAAGTACGTTTAGGATTGCAACACAGCTTCTTACTACTAAGCTACCAGAGTTAGGATGCAGAGCAGGCAGTTTTCATATTAAAAATTTTCACGAGGAGAACTCAAACTCTCTGGCATCCAGTTCATTTCTTCTCACAATGATGCTCCATCAGATTTCCAAGGTTTTGCATACTGGTGGGAGGAGACTGTGCACATTTCTCTCTTCCAGCTACTGGTGGTTTCTACATGCTCCAGAGGCAGCAGATACTTTGTAGCACAACTTAGTACATACCACACCACCCAAGAGCCCACAGTTTAGGGTGGCTTAATGGCTGATTTTCCTCGAAGCAGAAATTTTTCTTGAAGAAACACACACCTCTCTGGTTCTTTGCTTTAACTAAAATTGTTTTAGTTTGGGTAATTTTGTGTAAATCTCTAGGTAATTTTTTTCATTTGTTATTTTTCCCTACAGCAAAGCTTGAGTGTGCAGTGTCTATTTTAACAGTGGTGTGGTTATTTGCCATTTCTTTAGAGCTTTAAGAACAATCGATGAATTGGCCTTCAAGATAGACCTAAACAGCACATCACGTGTGAATATTACAACTCGGAATTTGGCTCTTGGAGTATCATCCCTGACTCCAGGAACAAACACCATTTCCAATTTTAGCATTGGTCTTCCAAGCAACAATGAATCCTATTTCCAGGTAATGATACAGTGGCTTCTTTAATTGGTGAAAGGGGCAGATGAAAACTTCTGGCTCCCTTTCTAGTTGTTCAGTGAAGTAGGCTTTAGTCCCGAAGGGTGGCAGACAGATCTGAATGTTGGCTAACTGAGATTAATGATAGCAGCTTTTGTGATGTGCTTTCTAGTTGGTGCCAGTGTTTGTACATACAGATCAAAGCACTGGTTGATTCTGTACCATTCTCAATAACAGCATTCCTGGGAGAGCGAGACTCTTGATGCTGCCACTGTCAGTCCATCTAAGTGAAGGTCTCTTCTTTTATTGTGACTCTTTACCAATCACGATGGGATTGACCTTTCTTATGATCCAGATAAACTGAGACTATTACTCTCCTCACTTTTAGGGAACATTCAGACTACTATTTCTAAGGCAACTTTTTCCTCTTCTTGAAGTCAGTATTCTCCAGCAACACTTTAATACAAATGATTCAGTGCTCCTTCTGTATTCCTTTTCATTCGCCAGCTTTTGCATGCAAGTCTCCAGATTAAAAAAGATCATCACTTCAGTATGGCATCCTTCAGTTATGAAGATGGCATGTTTGCTCTTTGACGATTTCATAGAGGTCTTTACAACAGATGGGTCCTAGGAAATACACCAGTTGATCTCTTGAATGCTGCTTTTCATTTGTCTTGATAATAAGGATCAGAATGTAGAATGGAAATCTTGACAACTCCATTTTCTTCAGCATTTTGTCATGATGTTTTTAACTGGCCTCAGTTGTAAGGATTGTTATTTCCTCTCATTAGGGCTACTGCAAAAAAATGAAATTGATATAAGTAGCCTTATTAAGTATTGCAGAAGCACAGAAGAGGCATCAGTGATTGCAGTGGCCAGTTTACCTTCCATATGAAGTGAAATGGAAATGACTTCTTAAAGCATGTTTGGAGGACTCACCTGACAAGGAGTGATGGGGTGACAATCAGTTCAAACAGAAAGGTTTTACTAAGGGCTCAACGCTGGACAGGAACATGATACATTTTCTTTGGCAGTGCCTCTAAAAATAAGATTTAGAATCTCCTGAAAGAATTTCTAAAAGAGTTCTCTAAGCCCTATTCTCAGGCTTTCTGATTCAGTAGATCTTGGTGGAGCCTTCAAATTTTCACTCTTAAAAGCATTCCCAGATATTGCTGACATTACTTGTTATAAAGGTATGTTCTGATGATTAGGATTATACGTGAGAATCAGTGATGGAGATGAGTGAGACAACTTATTTTGAGCCTCTTTGACCTACCTGTTAAAATAATCCATTAGCAAAGTCTTTTAAGTTCCTACTCTATCCAAGTTAATGATTGCCAGATTGAAACAGACCTTGTCCTTATAAGGGAAACAATATATGTGGAACATCAAACTTCTTTAGGAAAAGAATGAAATCAGAATCAAAATATTTTAAAAAGTCTGGAAGTAAGATATAAAGGTGAAAAGCAATGTATATGGACTTTGTAAGTAAACTAGTAAAAATAAAAAAAAAACTTTGAGACAAAGATAGGAAAGAGGACCTTTCTCACATTTGGACTAAAGGTTCTTTTTGGTATTTCTAAATTTTGGTATTTCTGTTTCAGATCAAAAGTGAAATCATAGGCAACCTTTTCCCAAATGCATTCATTCATAGGAGGGTACTCTGGCTTGAACTCTGGGTTTCAGAAAAATAATACCCCAAGATATTTATAAAACTTCTGTTACTCTTTGCAGAGCTACCTGCTGTCAGCAGTCAAACAAGTTAAATGTCCTGTTTTTCTCCTACTTAATATCTTTCAATAAATGTTTTTGAGAAAGCTGTAAAATCTGAGAAGGATAAATCTACTGCTCAGATTGGCTTGGGATCACAAGGTGGTGGTGTTAGTTGCTGTAGAGTTAGCCCCTAGTTGTGATGATGCCTTAGACCCAGGCCTGGCACCATCTCTGTGGTAGGCTGCAGATTAGAACACTGTGATCCATAGTGTTTCCAGCGCCCCATTTTCAGAAGCACGTCATCAAGCCTTTCTTCTTAGTTCATTTTAGCTGGAAGCTCCACAGAAACCCATCCCACATCACAGCACCATGCGTACTTTCGCTGATGGATGCTGGATGGCATCACAGAAGTGAAAAGCTACTGTCCTAGGTAATTTCCTAGTTGCACATGCTTTCCCCATTACTTCGTCATGTGAGGTTATTATCACTGTCAATCAATTGAGTCCTTGACCAGTGTATTTATGTGTGTGTTTGTGTCACAGATGGATTTTGAGAGTGGACAAGTGAATCCATTGGCTTCTGTAATTTTGCCTCCAAACATACTAGACAATTTAAGTAAAGAAGAATCTGCATTAGTTAAACGAGCACAGTTTACTTTCTTTAACAAAACAGGACTTTTCCAGGTAAGTGTTCAGGAGCAAATATAAGTTGTTTGTGTAAACATATTTTTAAAGCGGGCAGATTCTTTTGAAATATACCAGGACGTATAGGAAATCTAATTTACTGTACTTTTTAAATGAAAATTTCAACATAATTGTTTAAATATGATGTTTTATATAATAATATGCTTATTAACAGGATATGTTTGTTTCTTTTTATTAAATCAGATAATAGGGCTAGACTTGCATGAAACAATTAGAAATCAAATTAGTGAAAAAGTTTATATTTATTATTCCTTTTCCTAAGTATTTTATGCTCTCTAGCCCACAGACCTTCAGAGTTAAAGAAATTGCAGACTGAAGGAAAGGATTTTTTTCCCCTTTAATTTGGCAGGAAGCTCTGTTTACATAATGAGCCGCATTCTTGGCTTTAATCAGTTTTCCCATTAGTCCTTCAAGTGACCTTTTGCCTTCTCACATCCGCAGAGTAGGGTGGCATTGTGCTGAGCACATATTATCATTTTTATTGGCATCATTTCTAGATACTAGACAGTCCACCGCCAGCAAACAAGGGTGACCTCTGTTTGCCTTTGAACTTGCAGCTCAATCTAGAACAATTTCACTGATCCCCTTTTTAATAATGAATTTTACCTAGTAAATTGGAGATGATGTTGATTATCAATCAAAAGAAGAGAAAGCAGACAATCCCAATGCCAGTAGTCTTACTTCTGCTAGGTCAGTCCTATTTGGCACGTGTAGAGCGATGACATGGAGGTGACCAGTCCACTGAAGGAGTATTTACAGAGTCACTGACACTAATTCATTCCAAAATTTTTAAATGTATCAGTAGTTAGGTTTTCAGGGACATAAACATCTTGCGTGGGTTAAAGGTAAAATCCATTCATTTGGTTGGAAGGATTTCATACCTGTTCGCACATAAAGCCTTCTTTGTTAAAATTATTTTTATTAGTAGCATAAAAACAAAGTTGTAAGAGACATCACCTCTAACCACTCTACACACACACACACACACAGAAGGTAACACAAAATATGAATGTTTCAGATTCATTTAGCAAAATGCACTCTTCAGCCAGGGAAAGGCTTGGTTGTTAAGAGGTCTAAGAATCTGTTATTGTTTCATTTTGAGCCTTATCTTACCCATGACATTTTTCCTTCTTTGGCATCTCCCATCAAAGTTGTTATTAGGAAGCATGTGTTTGGTTTTTAAGCAAGGAAATGTTAAACTCAAAATAAAGTGAAACATTTCAAGACTTCTCTTGTACCCCTGATGTGATTGGGTATTTATTAATTGTGATAAATATGTGTAACAACATTTACTGCTTCAACATTTTTGCGTGTACAATTCAGTCACACATTAATTAGCTGTCCATTAATTTTTAAATGTGCAATTCATTTATGCAATAATTTTACTAATCTCATTGATCTTTTGGATCAGCCATCACGACAACACCATACATTTCCAAATTCTGTCCAATTTAGCAAAAACTCATGTCCCTTAATTGATAAGTTTCCCTTTTTGTTTATCGGCTCCTAGTAACCACTAGTATGCTTCTTGTTGCTATGAACCATTGGGTCTGGGTCATCTCATAGCTGACCCTTCAGGGGGTTTTCAGAGAGAGTAAGTTGAATGGGAGGACACTGTCCATCTTCCTCCTGCGTAGTAATTGGTGGATTCAACCTTTGGGTTGGCCTCACACCTTCTTACCACTAAGCCACCGCAAACTCTCTATAGTTGCCAATTCTAGACAGTTCCTAGAAATGGGATCAGTACCTTTTGTACTTGACTTTCTAGACTCACTCTGTTTTTAAGGTTCATCTAATATGTTCCATTGTTCAGGACTTGACTTCTCTTTGTGGCTGAATAATATTCCATTGTATGTGTGAGCCACCTCCAGTGTCCTTTGAAGAACTAGTCACAGTTACCAAAAGATGAAAAGAACCTAAATGTCCGTAAGATTGTTAAATCAGTAAACAAGATATGGGTCTTTAAAAGTCTCTTCACAAAGAGTAGGGTTTTAAGCAGTGATTGATTGAAGCCTGAGAAGAAACGCAGAGGGAAGAAAGAAGATGAAGTAACTGGAGAGATGCCCTATTGCTCTAAGTAATTCTGCAACCCAGACTCCTTAATTTGACTTCCTGACTGCCTTATCGCTGCCGTGGAATCTGCAGATACTGGCAAGGATACAAGCCGAGCAAAAGGCAGACATTCTAGACAGGACTTGGATACAGTCAAGTACATTTAGGTAAAAGTTAGTAAAAACGTCAGGCAGTTGGCATGAATGGAAAGATGAATTGCTGTGTATTTGTCATGCCATATTTCCTTCATCCATCTCAAAACGAAAACAACTTCATCTTGTTTTATTGTGTAGGAAAATGATCTAATTGTTTCACAGCTTTTTATGAGTTTTTATTACATGGGCTTGCATTGTTTCAGACATTAACTGGCTGCCATCAGTCACAGCAATCAACAACGAAGCTTTATGAAGACTGCCTTACAATATTGACTCATAATGTTCTCTTGATGTGTTTACTGTAATAAGGGAAATAGCAAAGTGTCTTCAGGAAAGTCAGCAATTTGATCGTATAAACAGGATGGTCTGTAATTGAAGATCTTAAGTATAAAAATTGCTGACAGTTTGCTTATTTTGGAGCACTGAAAATAAAAGTGTGTGCTTCTGAATAACTTTCTGAAAAATATACGTGTGGTGTTGTGTTTTTTTTTCTTGAAAAGGATGTAGGAACTCAAAGAGACAACTTGGTGAGTTATGTGATGGCATGCAGCATTGGAAACATTACTATCCAGGATCTGCACGATCCTGTTCGAATTATAATCAAACATACGAGAGTACAGGTAAGCATAATGTTTAACAATTGTATAAAAAGCAGAATATTTCAGAGAATTATGAGGTCCTCTGCCGGCATCATAAGAAAGATGCCTGGTGGCACAATGGATGAAGCACTGATATTCTAACCAAAAGGTTGGCTGTTCAAATCCACAAGATGCTCTGCAGGGGACAAATGAGTCCATCTGCCTCTGTAAAGATTTACAGACTTGGAAATGTCTAGGGTATTTCTTCTCTGTAGGTTAGTTGTGGTTTATAATTGACCTTTTGGCATTTGGTTTGGTATATATTGAAGAAGCAATTCTCCTTTGCTTTAGGGGACGGTATTCCAGAACAGGAAAGGACAGTCAGATGATGTTCTAACATCACAGTCAATGGTGACATTCTAGAAGGCAACGAGTCTTACCTAGGACTAGATAGAGAGTCCATGGATGGTGCTGATGGCTAATGTTCTTGACTGCTAATCCGAAGACTACAGGTTCAAGTCTACCTAAAGAAACTTCGGAAGAAAGACTTTCTTGGCCTGCTTTGGAAAAAATCAGCCATTTAAAACCTTGTGTAGTTTTACTTGTAACATACGTGAGAGTGCCATGAAATGGTAGTTTCATGGCAACTTTTCTTTTTCCATAAACCTCATTGCCATTGCATTGATTCCAATCCATAGAAACCCTGTTGAACAAAGTGGAACTGTCAACTTGAAATTTTCAAAACTGTAAACTTTTACAAAAGTAGATTAACTCATCTTTCTCCCACATAACAGCTGGTGAGTATGAACCAGTCACCACCCTCATGCTTGCTTCAACAGGACTAGATTAACAAAAGAATATTGTTGCTATTTGCCATCAAGTAAACTATAATTTGTAGCAACCCTATGAACAACAGACCCGAACCTTACCCTACCCTTGTGCCTTAGGACAAGGAGTGAAGGGGAAAGCAGGCATTTATACCTTCAAATGAAAGAAATGGAGATGGAGGTGAACAGTCCTGCCATTAAGAATTCTCGTGGTCTCCCTGTACTGTTAAGTCAAAGCTAACCACAACTAGAACAGCAAAGAAGGAACAGGGGGGAGTGACTCAATTTGTGAACCATTAGCAGTTTGAAATCTCTGCAGATGTCGCTTTTCTTGTTTCTTGCTTATCCTTGCTGTCCTCTGATTATCTTATGACATTACGAGGGAGTTCATGACCTAGACCCAGGTTCCCTGTCATTTGGGGAGGGTCTTGCTCCTGTTTCCACCATTTATTAAACAGTCTGGAAGCCAGGCAGGAAACGGACAGGTTGGGAACAGTTTGACTTGCTGATAAGGACTGAGGCTTGTTAGTTAGGCTGTCTCAGAACCAACCCTACCCTGTCCTTAACCCTGGGACACCAATTTGTTCTACCCTTTGACCTCCTTTCTTTCAGCTTTCCCATCTGTTCAGGAGAATTTTCAAGATGAAGTGAAAGTATAATGTAAAGATATTTGATAAATGCTAATAATGACAGTAGAAGCAGCATTTTAACCTATTGTTGCAATTCCAGCTGATGAAGGCACTACTGATTTCAGCATGGAACAGCACTCTTAGTGTATAATGACTATAGTCTTAACAAATTAGGTCGCCAAGCCTTCCTTCCAAGGGACCACAGGATGGATTAGAACCACCATCTTCTCAGTTAATAGTTGAGTGAAAGCTATGCTGGGCCATAACACAGGGTGTAGGTCCTGAACCTACTTCTTCTCAGGAGGGTAGAGTTGCTTTTTACTTAAAATTTTTCTGACAGAGAAAAGGGAATCCACCTTGATAGCCTGTAAATTTTAAATGTTCTTGGCATGGTTAGTGCTGATTGATTTCTGTGTGAGTATCTTAGTGTTCTTATTCTTTTTAAATATCCAAATCGTATTATTGAAAAATTATTTTAAACACAACTTCCCATGTTTCTTCTTTTGTTAATATAGGCAGTGCATAATCCCATCTGTGCCTTCTGGGATCTGAACAAAAACAGTAAGTTTTGAAATGTTGTCTTACTATAGAGAACAGCTTCATTTAAAACATTACTAGTCAGCTGTATTTCCTTTTCTTTTTCCCACCTGAGAACAGAGTGTGTCATAATCTACACGCAATGGCAGAAGATCTACACAACTTAATTTAGGTTGCTTGAAAAGTCCATCCTAATTGCTGTGACTTTTTATGCATATGGGAAAGAAATTGGCAAAATTGGCCTTTTTTTATTTTTTAAATGAGACAACTTCTTTGGTTTCAATTTTTTGTAAATGTAATAGGCTTTTTTTAATATTACCAGTTGACCTTAGATTTATTTTTTACTTTGTTCTTTTAAAACACTTTTGGGGAGGTTTTCTGATGCACATCAGACATTCCTTAGCTTCCAGATCTCAAATTGGGTTGGGCATCAAGGGTGGTAAGTATCCTGAAGGAGTGTAAACATAACACGATTGTAATGGAAATATTATTTTGAAGAAGTGGACTGCCGCCAAAATGACATTTGACAATCAGGGAAGGAAGGGCAAATCAAATCATTAGGCTTAAGGTGTGGAAGTCTCCTTGAAGGAAGAGATAAACAATGGATCCTTCCACCTCAAGCTTTGAGATTCACATCCCCTCAGGGCCCCCCATTGGCATGATAGTGGCCAAATCCATATTGATGCCAGTGAAGTCTGGGGTTTTGTTTAATTTTACTATGAAAATATAGACTGATAGTGGCCTGAGCCTCCACTTTTTACCTTTTTGGTTTAGAGGGTTTTTTGTTGGGTTTTTTTACTGCTTTGGGTTTTAGTTATACAGAAGATTGGCAGTCTAAAGTATTATCACCTCATAGCCTTGAAATATTCTTCAAATCAGTTGAACTACTATTGCACTATTAATATCAGAGAGCTGTGTTGAAAGATTTTAGAGGAGTTTATCACCGTCTGCATTTGCTATGTGCATAATACAATATCTGTAGGAAGCAGACTCTGTTTTATGGTCTTCACAAGACTGAACCTAGAAATGAATATGCTTTGACTTCCCAAGAGTTCAAAAAATGTGTAAGGTTTTTAAGAATGAGTATGCTTTTTGTGGAAGTTTACTTTTAAAATAGGTTAAAAATCAAGGTGTGAGTAAAACATTGAGAGAGTACAGTTTGAAACTACTGACTAGATACTGTCTAGCTGCCCACCCAGCACTCACATTCTGTGGTTCCACGTAACCCTGAGCATTGGGAAGCGTTAAGAATTGTAATCCAGTTTTCAAGATAATTTATGTGAGGCAGAAGAGACTGAGGCATCTTAGCCTAGCGAAGGTCTCAGGTCTCATACCCTTGTCAAGACCTGCTGTTGTTTTCATACTGTTTGTTGATTTCCTCCTACAAAAGGTTTTGGAGGATGGAACACTTCGGGATGCATTGCAAAGAAAGGTTCAGACGAGAGCGAGACAGTTTGCCTTTGCACCCACCTCACACACTTTGGAGTCCTGATGGTAAAGAGGAATTTCTAAACTTCTGAAATTGCACTGTTTTGTAACAGAGTATGTGTTACGGTCATTGTTTCCCAGTAATTTTATGTCTGGATCACGAGTCTTCCTAGGTTGGAAGATCATGCTAAAAAAACAAAACCACTCCACCTCACACTCACTGCTGTGGAGTCCGCTTCAGCTCATCCCACCTTTCACCAGATCGCCCAGCTTATAAATAATAACATTATGGGACCGTTCATCTTCTCCCCACAGAGCTGACAGGAGATTCGAACTGTTGGAGATACACAGCCTCTGGATTGGCAGCACAACTCTCTATGGACTATATCATCAGAGAATTAATTGTCAGAGATTTCATAATTTTTAAAAAAAATTTTTTTGAAACTAACTGTAGAAAAGAAAAAAAAAGAAATTAGCATTTATGAGAGAAGGAAGGGCAGTCTCCTCCTGAGTGATTAACTGCCTCTGAAAACCCACTGAAGGGTCAGCTGTGGGTCATTTCTGACTCAACAGTCCACAACAGCACTAATGGTAATTTTAGGGGGGAAATCACTGTTAAACTTTTGAATTAAGAGATTAATAGAAAAATATAGGAAGGGGGAGGGAGGCAGAAAGGAAGAGATGGAAGTAGAGTGAGAGAGAGAGAGGGATGGAGAAACGAAAGACGAGAGAAAAAAAAGCAGAGGAAAATGTTGAAATGCAGTGTTTTACTACTATGAAAGAAAACAGAAAACTTAGATTTTGTTTGTTTTTATTGTGATTTTGTGCTAGTTGATGCAGTTGAGACTTAAATTATAAACCAGCCCGCAATCTGCCCCAACTGGTGGAGGTTGTCCTGCTGTGTAAACTACCTCACAGAGTTCGAAAGACTCTTCCTTCAGTCTTGGAACAGAGATGGGAGCATGGAGTTTCTCACACTGTTAGGCCTTCATCTATTTACTGTCCATTTTCCTTTTTTTAGCATAGCCCTATTTTCACTTTGTCAGGCAGCCTGCTTGTTTGAAACAATACCCTCCCCAAACAGTTTTCAACATAATTTAGATCACCTCAACACGCTTTTTCATCTTACACAATTTTTCAAGACTTACCCACATCCAGTGACTTTTTTGAACTCATCTGTAGATATTACCTAAACAAACAAGCCAGCTTTCTAAGTTCCCAAACACATAGAACTTGACCTTCTGTCTGATACACATTCCCCCCCCCCCGGTGCCCAGTGTACCCGTAGGGATTTTCGACCTACTTCTTTCTATATATATATTTCCCATAACCAAACCAAACTTATTTTTCACTAGAAAAGTTGGGATAATGTGTGCTGATGCAATACTCCTTTTTTGAGTTGGAAGCACAGACTTCAGATTGTGTTTATTCTCTCTCTTAAATCTCGTCTAGTTCCTCCTGGGGCACCAGGAAGGTGTAAGGAACCAGCAAGGAACTGTGGGATGTAGTATTTGGCTCAGGAATCTACTTGGCCTGTGCTAATGTCCATTGTCATATGACAACTCTGAAAGCTGTCATTGTCCTGACATCCAGCACAGAAATGCCATAAGGGATAAAAACAAGTCATTAGAAAAGGTGACAGATCACAGAAAGTAACTTTTCTTCACTTTCTCAAAATAGAAGTAATTTTTTTTTCTTTACTGCAGGAGTGTGAAAATGAATATTAAATGGCAACTTGTTTTTCCCCCCAATTAAAACAAAACAAACACAAACCTCAGTTTTCTCTCCTGCTCTTTCTTACAAAATATTTCAGACATTTTTACAGAAAACATTTATTTTGTGTGATGACTCATTCCAGTCTATCAACTTTGTTGTTGTTGTTTGCTGTCCAGTCGGAATTGACCCATGGTTAACCCTCCAGCGGGTTTTCAGAGGCAGTAAATTGCATGGGAGATTGCCCATCCTTATCCCACGGAGCCTCTGGTGGATTTAAACTGTGCCTTCAGGGTTGCGGTAGAGCTTCTTATCACTAGGCTACCAGCATTCCCTCTCTAAGGTTTGGCTGTACTTAAATATCTCAAGTGTGTATTTGTGTGTGTACATGAGGACATGATTAAGTTGTTGTTGTTGTTGTTATGTGCTGTCGAGTCGTCTGCGACTCATAACGACCCTATGCACAATAGCCCTAAACCCTGCTCTATCCTGCGCCAGCTGCACTGCCTCTAACACACCCATCCCGATTACCCCAGTCACCGAATCAATCCATCTCATAGAGGGTCTTCCCCTTCTGTGCTGTCCCTCCATCCTCCCAAGCATGATGTCCCTCTCCAAGGACCCGTCCCTCCTGGCAACATGTCCAAAGTATGTCAGGCGAAGCCTCAGAATCCTTGCCTCCAAGGAATAGCTTGGTTTAATCTTCTCCAAGATCAATCTGTTTGTTTTCCTGGCAGTCCATGGTACATTCAGTACTCTTCTCCAGCACCACAGCTCAAAGGCAGCAACTCTCCTTCTGTCCTCCCTAGTCATTGTCCAACTCTCTGATGCATAACAAGCGATTGCAAATACCATGGCCTGTATCAGGCGCACCTTAGTCTCCAGAGAGACACTGTTGCTCCTGAGTACGTTAGAGAGGTCCCTAACAGCAGACTTTCCCATCGCGATATGCTTTTTGATTTCCTGACTGCTGGTGCCAAGAGTGTTGACTGGAGCCAAGCAAACTGAAGCTGTGAACAATCTCAATCTCTTCGCCATCCATCCTGACACTGCCAATTGGTCCAGTGGTGAGAATCTTTGTCTTCTTGACATTGAGCCTCAGTCCATACTGAAGGCTGCATTCCTTGACCCTTCGCAGCAAGTGCATGAGGTCCTCCTCAGTTTCAGCAAGCAGGGTTGTGTCATCTGCATAACACAGATTGTTAATGGATCTTCCACCAATCCTGATGCCACAATTCTCCTCATAGAGCCCAGCCTCTCGGATAATCTGCTCTGCATACATATTGAAAAGGTATGGAGAGAGGATGCATCCCTGGCATACACCCTTCCCAATTTTGAACCATGCAGTGTTACCCTGCTCTGTTCTGACTACTGCCTCTTGGTCCAAGTATAGGTTTCACATTAGCACAATTAAATGTTCTGGGATTCCCATTCTTCTCAGAGTCAGCCACAGTTTATTATGATCCACACAGTCAAATGCCTTTGCATAATCAATGAAACACAGATAGACATTCTTCTGGTATTCTCTGCTTTCAGCTAAGATCCATCTAACATCAGCAACAATATGCCTGGACTTCCGGCAATTCTCTGCTGATGTGCTGTTCTAATCGTTTTGGATAATCTTCAGTAGAATCTTGCTTGCGTGTGAAATCAATGACACTGTTCTGTAGTTTCCACACTCAGTTGGGTCACCTTTCTTTGGAATGGGAGCAAGTATAAATTTCTTCCAGTCAGTTGGCCAAGTGGTTGTTCTCCGGATTTCTTGGCACAACTTCGTGGCAACATCTGTGTATTTGTGTGTGTGCATGAGGACATGATTAAGAGTGTAGTATATATTGTTGTTTTTGTTGTTGTTGTTGTTGTTGTATGCCAAAAAATTAGAATCAACTCTTAGCTGAACCTCCAGCAAGTTTTCAGAGGTTATTAATATGGGAGGACATTGCCTTCCCTTCTCCCTCAGAACATCTGGTGGATTTGAACCACGTTGAACCTGACTTTGGGTTGGCAGTGCAGCTCCTAACCACTATCCACCAGAAGTAAGTAAAATATTTGTTAAATAGATAAGAAAGTAGCAGCAATAACAAACAACAACAAAATTTACTACTTGGAAGTAGTTTATATGTTTCCCATAACTTTAGCCATTTTCTTTATAAATTGATTATGAAATTTGCCAAGATACTTTTCTCTGATCCCACCTGTGTACAGAAAGATGCATTTTTACTAATAGCCTTCCATTTTCCACCTTGACTGTTTTGAGAGGCTAACAACTGGAAGAAAAACTTCGTAGAATTTATCCTTCCTGGCGATGTGCCCATATCCTTTCAGCTTTCCCAGACCACTGACATTTTTTAAGAGACTTTCTTGATTTATAAATTCTTTGTCTCACAGTTGAGTGACCATTTGAAAAATTAACAAATATGCACCCATACTTATACTTTCTTTGTTTAATAGACAGATGGAGGGAGAACTTAATATCTTCTATATTTTGTGTCATAAAATTGATTTTTTAATTTTAAACCACTGTCTATTTCATGTTTGCTAGGTTATTAATATTCTCACACTCTTCATCCTTTGATAATATAAAGCAAAATGAGAGTAGTTTGTTTTCTTTGGTTTGTAGTTTAAACTGATGTAACAACAGCCTTCCAATAACAGGTTGTTGTGATGTGCCCTCCAGTTGGAACTCGCCCACAGCTGACCCTCTAGTGGATTTTTAGAGACTGTAAAGCCCATGGCAGGAGACTGCCCATCTTTCTCTTGCAGAGTAATTGGTGGATTTGAACCACCACTAGGAGACCACTAGGGCTGTAGTTTTTTCAAAAGGAATTGGTGAGTCACTTGATGATCCTTCTAGACTGTGATCCCATGTCTTTGACCTAATTAAAGCCTGGAGTCCTGAGAATGCTGTACGGTACCTTTTGTCAGGCAGGTGGTCACTTGAACTCCATTCCATCTGCCTTGGGAGGCTGCATACTACAGTATTTTGTAAGATCCTTGGTGGAGGATAAAAGACATTTCCTCTGACACTAATCCTCTGAATCTGCTAAACTCAATCACTGTGTGTGCTGTTTTGATATAATCTGCATGCATTATTTTATGAAGATATTTCACTCTTTGTGTGTGTGTTTATTATGAAGCTCTGGTGACTTGGGGGCAAGGAATTTAACTGCCAACACAAAAGCAAATGGTCTCAGTTCACCAGATGTTTCACAAGATGATCAAGTTTCTCCCATGTGATTTACTGTCTCTGAAAACTTACTGGAGGGTCAGCTGTGAGTTAGTTCTGACCTGATGGTGTATGACAATGTGTATGTATGGTATTTATTTGTATGTATACATAGATGTACAGACAAAGACAAAAAGAGGTAAAGACATAGTGTTTGTTTCTTACTGTGTCAGCTAAAGTCAGAACTAAGTCTTATTTATTCTTTTCAACTTCTATACACAATTATTAAAAGCTACTGGGTTTTTTCCCATTTTGATGCAAATTAAAGAAAATAAGAATCCAATTGTTTCAAAGCAGTTCAAGATCAAGGAATATAGGCTTCAGTATGGATATCAAGAAAAAAAATTTTACAAGTGGATCTATAGACAACATCTTAATAGATAGAGATTAAAGTTGTCAAAAACTTTGTCTTGCTTGGATCCACAGTTAACACTTTTGGTACCAACAGTCAGGAAACAAGGAGACACACTGCACTGGGAAAATCTGCAGTTAGAGACCTCTCTAAATTATTTAGAAGTAACGATGTCAGTTTGAGGACTTAAGATGCATCTGATTCAGGCCATAGTCTTTCTAATCACTTGTTATGCATCTGAGAGCTAGACAGTGAGTAGGGATGGCAGAAGAATTGAGCCTTTGAGTTGTGGTGTTGGAGAAGGGCACTGTACATCTTAAGGATGGCCAAAAGAACAAACAGACATTTCTTGGAGTGGGTGCAGCCGGAGTGCTCTTTGGAGGCAAGAATGATAAGGCTTCGCCTCACACACTTTGGACATGTTGCTAGAAGGGGCTATTTCTTGGAGAAGGACCTGATGCTGGGGAGACTGGAGGGTTGGCAAAGGACAGGGAGGCCCTAGACCAGGTGGATTGACCTGATGACTGCCATAATGGGCTCTTGTGTGTCAGGAAATGTGAGGACGACGCAGGACAGGACTAGATTCAGATCTTTTGTTCATAGGGCTGCTTTGAGTTGTACTCAATGATACCTCACAACAACAAAGAAGAAATATATGTATAATGAGAAAACACTATAGAGTGTAGTAATTTTTTTCTTTAATTAAGACCAGAATTTTTGAACCATATGTACCTTTTGGAGTACACTTCTACTCCAATAAGTTTCTTTTCAAATTTCTGCCTAGTTGAGAGGTAATTCTCCCCAATGATTTGTTCATGTTATTGTTGTTGTTGTTATGTGCCGTCAAGTCGCTTGTGACTCACAGTGACCCTATGTACAACAGCCCTAAACTCTGCTCTGTCATGTGCCAATTGCACTGTCTCTGACACTCCCATCCTGATTATTCCAGTCACTGAATCAATCTACCTCATAGAGGGCCTTCCTCTCCTGCGCTTCCCTCCACCCTCCCAAGCATGATGTCCCTCTCCAAGGACTGGTCCCTCCTTACAACATGTCCAAAGTATATTAGATGGAGCCTCAGAATCCTTGCCTCCAAGGGGCCGCCTGGTTTAACCCTTTCCAGGATGAATCTGTTTTCCTAGCAGTCCATGGTATTCTCAATACTCTTCTCCAGTACCACAGCTCAAAGGCATCAATTCTCCTTCTATCCTCCCTGGTCATTGTCCAACTCTCTGATGCATAACAAGTGATTGTGAAGACCATGGCCTGTATCAGACGCACCTTAGTCTCCAGAGAGACACCATTGCTTTTCAGCAATTGCTCTTAGCAAGCCTGAATTACAATGACGTTCCCTTGGGACCCAAGTGAACATGGAGACTCTGCTCTTTTTTACGTGGGTACAGCTGCGCTTGTTTTGCAGAAACACACCCCTTAGGCCAAAGTATTAACCATACCTGTAAACAATTTAGTAGGAAACAAGTAAAAAAGTGATTTTGCTAACATCCTCCAACTTTGCAAGCCTTTGTCAGTATAGAGAAATCAATTTTTCATATTAAAAGTACTAAATAGTGTCTGTCTTCTTTTTGTTGTTGTTGTTGTTATCTTCTTTTTACTCCCTGAAAATCACTAACTCTTGAAATTGTACTCTCTCAGGCCTACTTCAAACAAACAAAAACTGACCGCCACTCAAATGCTTTGGCATCATATCAGAACCGACTCTTTGCTGACCATGTAGCTGCTTTTTGAGGTTATACATCACACATGAGGATGTTGTCTGTCTTTCACCATGGAGCCACTGACAGATTGGAACAATCAGAGAAGTTCACATGTTGGTTAGCAGTGTAATTCCCTATGGACAAGGTCTTTGAAGTTCCCTGGAAGGCCTATTGTTGTTGTTATGTACCATCGAGTCACCTGCAACCCATAGCAACCCTATGTACAGCAGCTCTGAACCCTCCCCTGTCCTGACAACACATCAAACCACATTGCCCCAATTACTGTATCAAGCCATCTTATCCTGGGTCTCCCTCTCCTGTGCTGTCTCTCCCTCCTTCCAAGCATGATGTCCTTCTCCAAAGAAGGAAGGCCAATAGTGATGAAAAACAACAAATCAACTATGACTCCAAAATACATTGTGTATTCCTATTTGAGTAAAAATAAAAAAGTAGATCACCTCATCCCATACAGACCTATTAACTTTGAAATTGCCATAAGGAAGAACCTCTCTACCACCTCCAGTGCTAGACAGCCCAGGACCATTGACTCTCTACCAGTTGAGTTTCTCCCTAAAGGCAAGAAATCCAAGGATCTTTGGGTCCCCATGTCTTCCACTTAAACTCTTGCTCCCAACACTGCAAGTGTTAACAAAGGACTTGAGGATGTAATCCTCAAGACAAGATGATTTAATACGCTTTAGTCTTAGTTATGGGAGTTCTGGTGGACCACTTAAGGAGCTTTTCTGCCAACCCAAAGGCTCACAGTTCAAATCCACCAGCTGCTCTGTGGGAGAAATAGGAGCAGTCCTCTCGGGTGATTAACTACCGCTGAAAACCCTCTGGAGGGTCAGCGATAATTCGGTTCTGACTTGACAATACATAGCAACTAAGTCTTGGTTGCAGTACTGGGTGATTATACTATTGTGGAAAGAGCTTTGGTAATAAGGTTTCCTTGCCTTTGTTTAATCGCAACTCTTTATGCTACAAAGGCAACATTTGCTTTTCCTCTGGTGACTCACAAGAGTATGATAATTGCAAATTTCAGTACTGATTTACACTGTTGGTTTTTATCCCAAATATTGACCTATTCTGTGATTAGCAATAAATGTTCTGGTAAAACCAAACCCTATGCTCATTCTAAGATACTTACAGCTACATCTCGTCTTTGTATAGGACCTTCAAGGAACTGCCTCCCAGATAGATGCAAGGAACACCAAAGTCCTCACCTTCATAAGCTACATTGGATGTGGAATATCTGCCGTTTTCTCAGCAGCAACTCTCCTCACATATGTTGCTTTTGAGTAAGTGTTTTTATATCTGCTAAGTCTCATGTTAACTCTTCCAAACTGTGAAGGAAAAAAATTCCATCTATTTTTAAAAGTACTTCATCACTTTACAAATCATTTAAGGCAGTTTGCTTTTGATATTCAGGTTGCTCTTAAGCTGTGTAATGCAATATGAAATTCTCAGCAGTGGAGTGCTCATATCTGATTGTTGTTGTTGTTGTGAGGTGCCATCGAGTCGAGTACAACTCACAGTGACCCAGTGAACAAAAGATCTGAAGCCAGTCCTGTCCTGCTCCATCCTCGCACTTCCTGACACACAAGAGCCCATTGCAGCAGTCGCTGTGTCAATCCACCTGGTTGAGGGTCTTCCTCTCTCTCGCCGACCCTCCACCCTTCCCAGCATCATGTCCTTCTCCAGGGAATAGCACCTCCTAACAATATGTCAAAAGTATGTGAGGCAAAGCCGCATGCGCATTCTTGCCTCCAAAGATCATTCTGTCTGCACCTCTCCAAGACATATCTATTCATTCTCTTGGCCGTCTGTGGGATGTACAGTGCTCTTCTCCAGCACCACAGCTCAAAAGCATCAGTTCTTTTTCTGTCATCCTTATTCATTGTCCAGGTTTCGGATGCCTAACTAGTAATCGGGAAGACCATGGCCTGGATCACACACACCTTAGTCCTCAGACTGACATCCCTATTCCTCAGTAATTTGGAAAGGTCCCTAACTTCAGATTTTCCCAGTGCAGTGTCTCCTTATTTCCTGAATGCTCATACCAAGGGTGCTAATTGTGCAATGCTTTTTCTAAATCCTAGAGATATAAAAAGAACTTTTTTGTTCAAGACATTTTCTATTGAAATTTCCCTATTTTTAAGCAGTAAAGATACCTCTTTTCCCTGTTTCAGGACTAATTTTATCAAATTTATGGAGTAAATATTATAATATTTCATAATGTAAAAATAATTGTATGTAATTCCTATTAAATATTAAGATTAAATTTTAACTTCATTAAATGTCAAATATCAATGTCTAACAGGTCTAAAATGCCATTATAAATAGAAGTACTGTAATCAGATATGAAGAAGGAAATTTCAAAGCCCTTTAGAAAATGTCTTGCACAAAAATACTCTTTTTATAACTCTTGGATTTTTCCTGGAATAAAAACATCAATCTGCTAGCTCCAATTGGTAATTTATGAGCAACTAGAAGTAATTTTGAAATAAAATTAATTTTTTTTTAAAAAAAATCTTTATAACTTGCCAAATACTCATAAATTGCTTTGGCCCTTCTCCTAATGGCACAATATAAAAGTTAGTGAACTTGCAAAAAAAAAAAGAAAAGATCATGCTTACTCAGTTTTTGTCAGAGTTGCGCAGAATGTGAATTCACTTCCTGTGCCTTAAGGATTTATTTCTGATGTTACTGTCAGCTGCTGTCAAGCTGATTCTGACTTGTGGCAACCTTCAGTGCAGCAGAAGGACACAGGTCCTGTGTCAGCCTCTTAATGGCCAGCACATGGGAGGCTCCCGGTGTGACTGCAGTGTGAGTCCATCTCACTGGCCCTTGACTTCCCCAGAGGTGCTGCCCTCCCTTAGCGTGTGTCCCCTTCTGATGACATGGGCAAAGCAGGTGTGTTCTGTTGTCATCATAGGCTTTCATTGACCAGTCTTGTCTTTGGATGGAAACAGCCAGTCCTGCTTCCTAGTCTTTGTGTGAAAGCTCTGCAGAAACCTGCCCACCATGCTGACCACCATGCTGGTATTTAAAATATCAACGGCACAGCCTCCAACATCAGAGCAACACACAAACCTACACAGAACAACAAACAGAGAGAAGAGTGGCATGGTTATAATATTAATACTCATGTTTCCCCCCTTCTTTTAAGAAAACTACGGAGGGATTATCCCTCCAAGATCCTGATGAACTTGAGCACAGCGCTGCTGTTCCTGAACCTCCTCTTCCTCTTGGATGGCTGGATCACCTCCTTCAATGTGGACGGACTTTGCACAGCCGTGGCGGCCTTGCTGCATTTTTTCCTTCTGGCGACATTCACCTGGATGGGGCTGGAAGCAATCCACATGTACATTGCTCTGGTGAAAGTTTTTAACACTTACATCCGCCGCTACATACTGAAATTCTGCATCATTGGCTGGGGTAGGCCGCCTATAAATTATATTTCCCCCATTTTGCATATTGCCAGATTTTCAGAGGAAAATGTCATCATTTTGAAAATAGCTAGGAAAAATGTAAAATTTCCAATGATGTGGACATACCCAAAGGGAGATACATGCTTGGAACTTTATTTTTTTTCCAATACTGTTCAGTGGTGCCCACTAAACTAAGGAGGAACAGGGAAAGCCTTTCCCTGAGTCACCACAGGCTGGTTTCCTGTGCCAGAGCCAGCCCTCCCTCGTCCAAAGAAGGAGCTGGCTGACGGCTGCATTTCCGCTCTGCTTCAAGAAATAAAGGCCTGCTCTGAGTCTGCCTCACCCTTTGACTCAAACCTGTATCTTGGAAATCAGAAAGAGAACATTATGTGTGCACGGGCAGCCAGAGTGCTGGCGGAACTCAACTTCATAACCTGAGTCCTCAACTAGACAAGTGGGGCTGTGTTTCACACTGAGCCAGAAATTCTGGAACTTTCTCATAAATGTCTTTTCCAGATGGCTCTAGGGGAGTTCATGTAGCTAGCAGGTGGGCATTACCAAGTTGCTCATAGGATGATAGAAATCCACATTTATTTCCCCTCCCCAAAGAATTGGGGTGGTAGCACTTCTACCCCTTGATAAATACATGAAAACTCTTTATATATTTCCTTGAGAGAAGTGATAAAGCCAAAAAGAGTTTGTATTCCACTGTTTTCCACCCACTTTTTTTTTTTACATTTTTTCCATTGTATAGAAAAAGGCAAAGAGGCTATCATATTTTGCTTTCTTTAGCTGCCAAAGCTTAAGCAGGGCCTCATTGAATGAACAAACATTCTGTAGGGCAGAATTTTGTTTAAATCAGATCATAGGTTCTCTGGAGGCACCAGTAAGTAAGCAAACAGAAGAACTAAGTGTCTGTTACATAAGTACTTTGAGTCTTGTTTTAAATTTTAGCCGGTTGGAGTTTCAAATTGTACATAAAGGAAAGGGGTTTTGTTTTAACAAAGTTGGCCAGGTCTAAGGAACATATAACTTTGCGTTAGGGAGTGTTTTTGGTCATTTGTCCCTTCTTTCGTTACCAGTCTTTGAAGGCTGCTCTTTGTTTCTGCAGAGCTGTCTACATCACAGTCTCTTCCCCACAGGTTTACCTGCTTTAGTGGTGTCAATCATTCTTGCAAGCAGAAAGCAGAATGAAGTCTACGGCAAAGAAAGTTATGGAAAAGAACAAGGTGATGAATTGTAAGTAACAGAAGCTCATAAGGAGGGGTTCATGATGGGTACATGTCCTGTGGTTCCTGACAGTTGGTCTCGGTTTCCATGCCACCAGTGAAGGGCTCCTTTTCAAAAGTTGAAGCTAGTTTGCATGACTTTTCCAAGGTCTCCACTGCACCATGGATTAATTCAGACGAATGCCCTGAAATGCCTGAGCTGCTTTTCCATATTAACATTGTACTGTGCCATCTGGGCAAATGCAGAAGTCTCAATTTATCTCCCAGCCTCAGAAGACCCATTCTATTTAAGGATTTTTCCATAATATTTTTACCTCCTCAAACCCACACACATCTTCAAGAGAGCGCAGTAGCAGTTTCCAGCAGTGAGCTATTTCATGCCAGGGTGAATGCTCTGTAGAGACTTAGAGAATGTGGAAATCAGTGAGCTGCTGACTGCTTCATAAATATCTTTTTAAAAAATTAATTTTTTTATTTTTTAATTATTATTCATATTAAAATTATTATATTAAGAGTGTTGAATATACCATGGACTGCTAGAAGAACAAACAAGTTTGTCCTGGGGAGGGTAAAACCAGAATGTTCCCTGGAGTCAAGGATTCTGAAGCCTTGTCTGACATACTTTGGGCATGTTGCAAGGAGGGATTGGTCCTTGGAAAGGGACATCATGTTTGGCAGAGTGGAGGGACGGCACAGGAGAGGAAGACCTTCGATGAGATGGATCGATTCTGTGACTGGAGAGGTGGGAATAAGTGCGTTTGAGATGACTAGGTTGGCACAGGACAGAAGCGCGTATAGAACTCTTGTACACAGGGTCGCTATGAGTCGCAAGTGACTCGATGGCACATATCAACAATAATAACAACACAATTATTATTCAGTATTTTAATGAAAATTTACAGAGATTTTGGATTTCCATTCATTCATTGTTGCACTTTTCTCCCTGTCCACCCTTCCCTCCAGTTTGTTCTTGTCTTTGAAAAGTAAAAGAAAAATTCTTTCATTTTTTATAATCCCTCCCCCTTAAGTCCACTCCACTGTGCAGCCTTTATTCTGGACGCCTGTCATGACAATAATACCTAATCACATATCCCTTTTAAACAGTTCTCTCACTCATCTGTTTCAAAGCAGTATACATAACTTATCCCATCTTTCTCAGTCTCCCCCCAGTTCCTATGTCAGTCCCGTTTCACAATGTGGCACTATGCAGTATGTGTCCTTTTGTGACTGAGATATTTCACGCAGCCTAATGTCTTGCGGGGTCACCCATTTTGCTTCATAAATGTCTCATCACACTATGATGCTGGTGAGGTAAAAGTTGTAGATTCATATCTGGCACTCATATTTATTTAGTGCTTACTGTTGGAGGTGGTGGTAGGTGATGTAGAGTTGACCACACCCCTAGAAACACTCTGAACTGCGGATCTGTACCCCGGCCTGTCCTGTGCCGTTCTCTTCGTCTCTAAGACACTTGAGCCCTTTGTCACAGTCACTCTCTCAATTCATCTTGTTGAGTCCTCCCTGCTCTCGATGATCCTCGACTTTCCCAATCTGTGGTAATTTTCCAAGGACAGGCCACTTAACAATATGTCCAAAGTATGTGAGACAAAGTTTTACTCTCCATGCCTCCAGGCACTTAAAAAACAGTTGTTGTTGTGTTCTGTGGAGTTAGAACCAACTCATAGCAGACCCTTTAGCAGATTTTCAGAGGCAGCTAATTACATGGGAGGTAACTGCCCATCTTTCTCCTGCAGAAGCAGTTCATAGATTTGAACTACCTGCCTTTGCATCAGCAGTGAAGCTACTTACAAGCCACTTGTAAAAGGAATGTAGGAAGCAGGAGGATAGTTGAGTCTGACCTCTGGTAACTCCTCAAGGGGTAATTGCCTCCATCAATCATATTCACAGCACAATTACCATGAGGCTAGACATGTTCCCATACTCCTGCACCTTCCCCCACAAATTCTAACACCAACCATTGCTCCCAAGACTCCCTCTGATGTACAGCTGGGTCCACCAATCTATTGCAATGGCCACACAGAACTCACAGATCCATACTCAAGATTGTGGGGTTTTTAAGGAAGTTAAAAGACTGCAATTCAGACTTGAGACAAGATGCAGTTCTTCAGTCAGGACAACTTCTCAAGCATGCTCACAGGTCTTTCACCCTTCAGTCTCAAGGCTTTAGGTCAGTGTACAAAATTCTCTTAATCTTTCCAGTTTGGGTGTCTTCCTGACTCCCCAACTCTTCCACTAAGCGTGTTCAGAGGCCCCTGACATGAGACTGACAGTCATAGGTCAGTTCTGCCTCAGGTAAATCTCAAGTTCCCCATTGCGACAGTGGCTTCTCTCATTTAGATTCTGTTTGGCTGGAGCAGGGCTCTCTGTCCCCAGAGGACATGTGCTTCATGCTCTGTGTCCCCTTTGTTACCGGGAGTGAGATTCCTCTTTACTGTTGCCAAATCTACTCAATTTAAACCCAATGAAATGGCAAAACCATCATGGAGAGACTTTACAACCGATTTGCAAAAAGATCAGAGTAGAAGAGGAAAACCCTGAATGAGATGGATTGACACAGTAATTGTGGCCGTGGAGTCAGGTGTGTCAGCGATGGTGACCTTGGCTCAGGACAGGGCAAGGTCCAGAGTCATTGTTCGTAGGGTCACTATGGGTTGTAGTTAACTTGATGACACATAACAACAGCTCAGTCATGAGGGAGCCCTGGTGGCTTAATGATAAAGAATTGTTCTGCCAAACTGAAGGTATGCAGTTCAAAGCCTCCATCTGCACCACAGGAGAAAGATGAGCAGTCTCCTCTGTTGCAGATCCTAGCCTCTAAAAACCTACTGAGTGGTTATCTTTGAGTCGGTCTAATTCAACAGTGCATAACAACATCCAGCCATGTGATAAAAGTCAAAAGTAATAGCCTGGGAAGGCCATTTTGAGCAGTAAAACCACGACACAACAGTGTTCAATGCATTTTTGTTGATTGACGCAATCACTGAATGAATGAAGAGCTTATTATGGAGATGGGACCTATGGTGCCGTATTTTTATGTACATTTATTGAATTGATAAGTCTTTCATATTCATTCTGCTCTCATTCCCTCTCATAGGCTTGCTTTCTTTCTTTTGTATTCCCAGATTGTTGTTTTTGTTCATTGCCATGGAGTTAGGACTGACTCTTCCTTTACCTTCCAGTGGCTTTTTAGAGAGAATAAATATCTGGAGGAGATGGATCTGTATAGTATCTGGGGCAATGGGGGTTGGTGTGTCAGAATTAGTGAGTCTGGCTCAGGACAGGGCATGGTTCAGAGCTGCTGTACATAGGGTCACTATACATCGCAGGCGACTCAATGACATATAACAACAATCACTATATTGGTTGTTTTTATTTAAGCCTCTTGTTTCAAGTCAACAAGACTTCAGGGAGGGCCTTTGTATTTAAAGTTGGTTGTGATTATATTTTGGAGGAACATTCTTCTAAGTGGTACAGCACTCTTCTGTCAATGTTGTGTACTGAGGTAACTTGGGGTTGCTTTGATGCTGAACCTTGTGCCATTGGGGTGTCAAATGCCATAACGATTACCCATGGTGGACAGTGTTTGGTGGAGCTCCCAGTTTAAGACAGGTTTGAAAGCAGGAGTGGCATCCGCTTCCTAAACAACATGCCTCCAGAAACTCTATGAACTCTGATAAATGTCAATAGTTATAAAAAGGCTTCGGGCCTGTTGTTCAGAAGGTTACTATGAGTTATGCTCAACTCAAAGGCAGTCAACAACAACAACAACAAATCTCACTGGTGGAGATTGCATAGCCTCCAAAAGAGCAGCTGGTGGATTTGAACCGTGAGCCTCTGGGATTGCAGCACAGGTTCTTATCACAAGACCACTAAAGCTTTTACTTATATTTCTAGAAACTTAAAAACATCACAAAACCAACCACATGAAACAAAACTCAGCTCCACCACTCATGGCCATTGAGTCAGATCTGACTCAAAGTTGATGTTCTCCTGGGTTTTGAGGGGCTGTAACTTGGAATATGCCCTGAGAAAATGAGAACTGAGGCATAAATGGAGATTTGTACATCAGTATTCATAGCTTCAGCATTCATCATCACAAGAACATGGAAACAGCCCAGATGCCCGACCACAATCTCACGTATTGAGAAATTATGGTACATTCACACAATGGAATACTATGCAGCACACTGGAGCAATGATTTTGCAAATTATTATTTATATAACTTAACAAGATTTTTAATAATTTATAATAATTATTTTTAATAATTTATGGTAATTATTATTAGCATTATGGTGAGTGAACTAACTCAGTCCCACAAGAATAGATACTGTATAAAACCATTGTAGACTGAGTATAAGGATCCGAGACGGGTGGGAGAGGTTGGAAGCAGAGGGATGAGAATGTGCAGGGGGAGGGGGGATTACTAATGAGGTTGTACAGTTTGTTGGGGGGGGTGAGGGAAATGGAAAGAATTTGTTCTTGAAAACAGTATATTCAAATTTTGTAAATAAACTAGTAGAAATTTTAAAGAAAACACAAAGCGTGCGAGGAGATGGCCTCTGGTGGACTCGAGCTGCCAGAGAGGGTGCCACCAATGCGCTAGCAGGAGAAAGAGTCGCATTTGGTTAAAAGCAAGCGCAGAAGGCACAAAAGGATGAAGAAAAACAGAAAGGATGAAGAAGAGGAGTGCTGCTGGGTTGTGGGGATTGTAGGCAGTGTCCCAAACAAATTGTGTAAACGTTTGGAGTGAAAATAAACTTGATCTGTAAACTTTCCTTCTAACCGCGATTTAAAACAAAACAGAAAAAAAAAACAACCCAAGACCTAGGGCAAATCATACTCCTGTGTGTCAATTCTAGGAGACCTTCCTGTATAAAGAGCGATTCAGGAACAAGCACTTTCATAGGAACAAACATTGTCATTTTGGTGATCTTCAGAATAAGATATTTTAAAAGTAGCAGTCTGTAAATACACTCTAAATAAAGGATTTGAAAGTTGCATTCATCAACTAATACAGGACATTACAGCACTATTCCATTATTGCTGAATAACTCATTTATTCGACATTCACTATATGCAAGGAAATAGGTTAGGTTCTAGGATCCACAGAGGTGTAAGGCACAGCTTTTTCCTTTGTAGAAGTCATACTTCAAAATGATGGTCATTTACAGTGGTAATATAAAGAACAGTTTAATTTGTTTTGTGGTGGTTGGTTTTGTGTGTTGGTTTTTTTTTGTTTTTTTTTTAACTTGGAATGCTTCACGAATTTGAGTGTCATCCTTGTGCAGGGGTCATCCTAATCTTCTCTGTATCTTTCCAATTTTCATGTATGGTATATGTGCTGCCAAAGTGAACAGTAATCTGATTTTTAAAAATAATTTTCAGTTAACAGCCAGGCACTGAAACCATTGAGCCACCAGGCTCCTTGTTCCCACCAGGAGAGAAAAGAATGGCCTTTCCAATCTCCTTCAACCAGGAGCTCCTCAAAATCCCTTGACAGGCTGTTTCAATCACATTCTCCAGAATAATATCACATGGTCACTTGTAAATTCAAAATAGGCTGTGAAAACAAATACGTGACTTTCTCATTTTGTAGAATACAGACACACCAAAGGGAAGAGGGATGGATATCATTTTGAATGATCCAATGAACAGTTATGCCAACATGTAATTGAAAAGTCACCTGGTTTTTCTTTCCCCTGTTGACTTCAATGACGAGTTATTAAGATGAAAATCATCAACAAGGTAAAAAACAAAACCTTAAATGATTGGAGAAGCAGATAAGACCCAAATAAGCAAAATAACTTTGAAAGGCATTTGAGCAGGCCCTTGTTACGGAATCGGCGGTAGTAGAATCCAAGCCAGGAAAAGTCCTGGATAAACAGCATGGTAATAAATCTCTTTTTCTCTCTTGCTGCTGCTTCTGTTTTCAGCTGTTGGATTCAGGACCCAGTCATATTTTACGTGACCTGTGCTGGGTACTTTGGAGTCATGTTTTTCCTGAACGTTGCCATGTTCATTGTGGTCATGGTGCAGATCTGTGGGAGGAATGGCAAGAGAAGCAATCGGACTCTCAAAGAAGAGGTGCTGAGGAACCTCCGCAGTGTCGTCAGCCTGACGTTTCTGTTGGGCATGACGTGGGGGTTTGCCTTCTTTGCCTGGGGACCCCTCAACCTCCCTTTCACATACCTCTTCGCCATCTTCAATTCATTACAAGGTAAGAGAAATGGTGTCCAAGGATGTTATGCTATTTTTATTGGGCTTACAAACAACTTCACTTTTGGACAGATACCAAGCTGAGTTTCTGCCTCCTTTCTCCTAGGTACTGAGCATATGAAATTATGCTTTGAAACTATCAATTGATGGGGATGGATGGATCAATGGGGTTGGTTGGATTGATGGAGATGGCTGGACTGATGGAGATGGTTGCATTGATGGACATGGATGGGTGGACCAATGGGGATGGATGGATGGTTGGACAGAATATTGTTGGATAAATGAAGCAGAGTGTCAGGATTTGTTAGTCCACTTGCCAATGATTTATTCCAAGTACCTAGCAAATTTTGAGCAGATAGTGGATATTCAAGAAATATGTATTACTTTATGAATGAACAGAAATCAGTAACTTGCGTAGTTGAAAGTCCTATGGGAAGATTAGAGGAATGCACAAAAAACTATTACCTTCACAGCTTTGCTGGATGTGGGTACTGTTAATGGAGCCTGTCTCTAGGTAGGTTTATCATCCTTTGTTGTTGTTGATTGCCTTTGAGTTGCGTGTGACTGACCGTGACCCTTTGAACAAAGGGCCTGAAGCCCCTCTACAACTATCGACATTTATCAAAGTTCTTAGAGTTTCCGGAGGCATGTTATTTAGGAAGTGGATGCCCCTCCTGCTTCCAACCCTGTCATCCTTTACCAGAGGAATTGTTAGGCATTGTTCAATGACAGAAATAATTCGTTTGGATTAACTTGACTTTTTATAGTTTAGATAAATACCTACAGCCACTTCCTTTAGTCAGAAAGGCAGCCAGCCCTCTCCTCTGCTGACCCACTTTTCCCATCTCCTCCTAGCCATGCACCACGCCCCGCGGGGCTCTTCCAGTGCTGCAGGCCCAGCATCTCTCCTTGGTCTCCTTGCCTACTATGCTACTACTCATTGATGTGTTCATGTTAAAAGGTGACGGATGAGTAATGATTGAGACGAAGAGATAAAACAGGAGCTCTGCTGGTTAATACCTCACCACTTTGAAGTATACTGTAAAGTTGCAATAACACTTTACATTTTGTAGATGTAACCAATAGCTGATCTTAAGGCTCTTTAAAAAACAAACTAGCAACAAATGATCTTTAAGAGAAAACGAAAAAGTAGTGTGTTATGCTTCCTGTGTGTGCTAGTGAGGAGCTGTGGTGGTGTAGTTGTTAATATATTCAGCTGGTAAATGGAAGGTCAGCTGTTTGAACCCACTAGCTGCTCTGAGGGAGAAAAAAAAGGCAATTTGCACTGATAAATGGATGAGCAATCTCTTCCTGTGTAATTAAACTGCTTTTGCAAACCTGTTGGAGGGTCAGCTATTGGTTGGTTCTGACTTGATGGCACACCACCTCCAACACCACCATGACACCACCATGACAGTTAGTTTAACAGTTCAACACAGATTTGCCAAAGTCCTATTATCTGAAAAAAAATGCAAAGGCTTCTTGACTGCTATGACTGCCAGGCTTCTGATTCCACAGACATGTTCTTGTTTGCTGCCATTGGATTGGCTTCAACTCAGAGTGACCTTCTGATAGGACAGGGTCCTGCCTAGGGCTGCACCATATTCACAGTCCTGAATTTCTGATATTCTAGAATGTGTGTGTATTGTTTAAGCTTAAAACTATATATATACAATTTAAAAAAAATAATGAATTGTATTCTTTAAAATATTGACTACACCCTTGGTTGTTGAGAAAAATCCTTGATGTTCTGAAGCACAGTGAAGTCTTTCCAGAGCAAATTTTTACAGTTGCAGTCTTTCCAGAGCAAATCTCTAGATTATTTTTCCTGAGGAAACACTTGCAGGGTTTGAACTGCCAGCCGTTTGGCTAATAGCTGTATTAACCATTTTCTGCACCATTAGTTCAGGTAACTTTATTCACATTCAGTCTCTGAAAAAAACGGAGAAATAAAATGTGTGGTCATTAGCTTTAATAAATAGGATAACTGACCTCATGTATACTTCCAAAGTGTGAGAAGGACGGGCAGGCAGTCTCCTCCTGTGCAGTTTCCTGCTACTAAAACCCTGCTGGAGGGTCAGGTTTGGGTAGGTTTCAACTTGGTGGTGCCGCCATCAACCGTACTTCAAAAGGCAGAAAGTAAAAAAAAAAAAGGCAGAAAGTCTACATGTATGTAATATATGAATACATCTCAGTGGAGAGCTACATTTATAAAGTGATTATTCCTCTATTTAATATCATCTCTTATACACAGATAAAAAGGCCTAAATAAATATTGACACAAATATTCCCTGATAACTAGAAATTCCAAGGTTTTGTATGTCAGTATTGTACATGAAAGGAGGATTGGTCAGCCAACCCCAGGCTGATTTTGTTTGGAGAGTTTCCTGGCAGTTCCTGCAGTCTTCGGCAGCCACAGTTGTTGGTTCAGCTCTGTTTCCATTCATGAGAATTGGGGTGTTTTCTTTTTCCCAGCATGGGTCTCCTTCAGGAGGGAAAAATGTTGTAAACCGTCATCAAGTCAGTGTTCGGCATAAATCACCGCATTTAAATACTGACTTTAAATGATATAAATCCAGACCAGATTCTTGCTCATCAGTGATATCCCCCCCAAAAAAGGAAATTTAAATTTGAAACACAGTGATACATTGCTGATGAGCCTCCTGACAATTGCTTCCTGGCTAGATTTACACAGACAAAAAAAAAATTAAAAAAAAATAAAAATTCAGGATACTATGGAAAGTTACTTAATGGTTTTTGCTGGTTAGTTTTCAGAACTTTGTAAAAGCAGCTTTATTAGTATAACAAGTGTGTGCTTTATTAAAAGAAGCCTGTAAAATTTAAATATTTTTGAGAAAGAATTCTCTGGATTCAAAATAAGTTAAGGTAATACTTGGGTAAATAGATGATATCTGGATTCTGCTCTGCCTTTTCTCTCTTCTTTTGTTCTTTCTTTCCATTCTATATTCTAGCAAAAAGTTGATGCAGTCTATTGACCTCACGAAGCTATGTTCCAGTTGTTGTTGTATGCCACTCACAGTTGACCCTTGCGTGCTTTCAGAGGTAGTTAATTGCACGAGAGGAGATTGCCCATCCTTCACCCACAGAGCAGCTGATGGATTCGAACTGCATGACTTTGGGATTGCAGCACAGCTTCTTACACTAGGACACCAGAACTCCCTGTGTTTCAGCAGGGGAGATCAATGTTAATTACATAAACTATGAAATGAAAAGTGCTTGTACATGGAGATATTGAGAGCCTGTACCAGAGGACATGATGTCAGAGCTAAAATTTGAAAGACAACTAGAAATGAACTTGATGAGAGTTTGGAGGGATCCGAAAGGTGTGAGTAAGAGTGGGGAGAAGATTATTTCAAGTTACAAATGTTTCATAGGCAAAATTTACTCTAACTGGTGATTATAACATATGCTTAGAGGGATTCAGAGAAAGATCAGAGAATGAGCAGGAGAGTAACAGAAGTTGGTATAAGAAGGAGTCAGACTTCACAATGAAGAGCCCATATTTAGATCTTTGAAAGAGCAATGGGAAGTCTTTGGAAGGTCTTAGGCATTTAGAGTGAGGTCAGGATGACATCTTCAAAGTAGAAAGCTGTCCATAGTCTGGGGAGTGAATTAGAGCAGCCTGCTAGTAGGTGTCCTTGCTAGAGGCCATTGTCCCTGCTCCAACAACAGCAAAGCCCCACCCAGCCCCGCCGGTCTCACAGTCTCCACTGCTTGAGCCCACTGCTGCTGTCACTGTGCCAGTTAGTTCATCTCATTGGAGAGTCACCCTCTCCCTGGCTGACTCTCGACTTTTCCACGCTTGATGTCATAGCAGCTGGATTCTAAGGCTGTGCATTGGGACAGGAGGAGACCACACACGTCTTCACCTGCAATGCTGCTGGTGGATTTGATCCCCCGGAGAAGCAGCCTTTTGATTAGCACCACACCACCTTACTAACCACACTACTGGAGTTCCCATTCTTAGACACAGCAGTGGTCAGATGTTTAGAATGTCAAACCATATTCTGAAAAGCTCATTGATGCCAACTTTAAATCTACTTCACGTTCAGCTGTGAATGGAGCATCTAAATACCAGCCGGTTCTTCACTGTGGATCCCAAGTCACTCTGCATTGTTACAGAGGTGCAGGCAATAAAGAGAGATTGGTAAAAAGAGCAGGAGGAACAGAGGGCCGCACACCTGCACTACCCAGACGGCATATATAGCAGAGGACATGCTTTTGATAGATTTATTTTATCATTTATTTATATCTTTCAAATTTATCTCTTTTAAAATTTCCAGGATCCTTGAAAAGAATATGTATCTGTTTCTATTGTTGTGTACTGTGGATTCAGAACCATCCCATAGCTGATCCTCTGGTGGGTTTTCAGGGGTATTTTAATCACACGGGAGGGGATTGTCCACCTTTCTCCCACAGAGCAGCTGGTGGCCTCAAACTCTGTGCCTTTGAGATTGCAGAGCAGCTTCTTGCCACTAGGCCACCAGAGCTCCCTATTTATTTCTATCCACCTAGGCTTAGATAAGAGGAAGTCTCCTCTCATTAATAATTATAGCCTTGGAAACCCAAAAATTGTGAGTCAAAATAGGTTCGATGACAGTGAATTTGAATTTGTGTTGTGGGGCTGACCAAAAGCTCAGCAGCTCAAACTGGTCAGCTGCTCTGACGGAGAAAGTTAGGCAATCTTCTCACATAAGATTTGCTGTTGTTGTTAGATGCCATCTAGTTGAATACGGCTCTTAGCGATCCTATGAACAACAGATCTGAATTCCATCCTCTTCTGTGCCGTTCTTAGCATCTGCGACACACTTGAGCCCTTTGCTGCTGCAAACACTGCATCAATCCATCTTGTTAAGGGACTTTCTCTTCTCTGCTGATGCTTCTTCACCTTTCCAAGCATGATGGTACTTTGTAAGGAATAGCCTCTCATAGCAGTATCTTCAAATATGAAAGATAAAGCCTCATGACATTTTCCTCCAA